AGGGGCATTGGTGAATCAGAGACATGGGAGATCCTTCTCCTAACACTATGTAAATCATCCATTTCTAAAACTCCTCACTTCGGCCCAGAAAATGGAGGCAGTATGTTTTTTTCGAAGAAGTTACATATATCCAGAATACTAAACGACGCAACGACCCAGAATACCGCTATATATAAAATGATTATAGTTATTTCTGCAAGTACATTCTCGTTTTACTGTGACTTTGATCGTGAATAATTTCGTGATACAATCTTCCATAAGAAGTACATGATCGTATTTAGCTGTGTTGTAGTAAAATATTTCGGAACTCAAAGGCTGCACGTGATGGTCGATACAAAAGAGAGCCAATGGACAGTAGTGCATCCCGGTCCATTAGTCAGGTCGTGTGCAAATGCAGTATTATTAAATAACCCTACAATCTCACCGCGTTGCTAAGATATTTACGTTCGGTGTATTCAGTTTCCTTTATTACAGTGTTGCCAACAACAAAGTGCGTGTAGTAGGCAGACACTAATAAAATACGCTAACAAGCAGATTAAAACAGAATTAAGCGTTCCCTTACAGAGAAATTGCCCTTAATGGAGACAGTGATTTTGCTCCAAGAATCTTCATATGCCGTTTACAGCACTCATTGTGCCATCTTCATTTTATTTCCAAACCACTTTCATTCCTCGACATTTGGTTAAATACGTAGTCTCTAACAATCCATTTGCAGTGTATCTTGTTAAAACTAATCTAACTTCGGTTATTTATTTGCATATGTTTCAGTCAGAACGTTAATCAGTAAAATCTTTCAAGTTACAATTTCTGTTACAGGTTATATTAATTGGTTTAACACTTTCATTGTTTACTGCTTCTAACTATATGAACATTTTTATCTATCTACCTATTTATAACTCTCCTTCCACCCTCTGCTATTAGTTTTAATTAAATATTTTTAATTCCTATTATATGGTTGCTTTTATTGGCTAAAATATCGAATTATAACTAAAATTAGTAACTTCAACCCACTCAAAATTTAATCTACCTATTTATATTATGTTTGCTTTTTCATGTATAGGTTATTCTATGCTATCAAATTTCTCTGACGAGTTTAATACGTCAGATTTCGCTTGACTGCGAAAGTCTTTTGAATGATACTCTAGTTTGTATCCATGTTATAAAGCGAAGGGTCGTGTGTATTATATTAAGTCTACACGAAATTTCGTAGAATTATTGGTTTGAAGATGAAGAAACAGGCGTGGTCTATTGTCAGTCCCAGAAGGGTCTGGTTGCTGTAGAGTAACTGTTTTATGAGTCCAAAGAGCATCATTTATCATGCAGTGCCTTTAGTAATTGGCCAGCATTAGGACAAGCACCGTGAATCAAATACTGGAGGGGGAGCGGTGTCTCATCACTGTCCCTTAGGGAATGAATCATCTTTTAGAGGTCAGACAAAAAGAACACACCTTCGCGGATAATAGTGATGCCCACGGGCTGAGGATATCCACACAGCCATGCACGCTAGGAAGGAACATCTGTGGACAGACTCTTTCGTTTCACCTTTTTATTGTTATTTGTTTAGCTGTACTCACACTTTTTTACAATAATAATACTACCCTTATCCTTCAAGTAAATGGTGTTGCACTGGTACTGAAGGCGGATTGTTTACAGACCTCATCAAGCGAAAAGAAAGACAAACGACAGATGATACCCCATTTCTGAGATGGCAGACAACTTGGCGTGTCCAGTCTGTTGATGTAAGACGGTATTATGGAACTTTTAAAAAAAAATATTGTGGTTTAATGACAAATATAGCCGTTTTAATGGGTGCCCAAGTCTAAAGTTAAGACCACCGTCTTGGATTATATAGAGCTTCAATCGTATAACGCATTCTAGTTGCGTTCTTCCAACGATTTATTTTGTGTAATTACCATTCAACACAACTAGTAGTTTAAACGATAAAATATTCCACTTTATTGGTGGCGACATTTTTCAATTCAAGGTATCATCAACATCAGTCTAGCTCAGTTAATCTTCTGCGCCAAAACTTTCATCTCAAAATTTAGGTCGAATTGATCGGTTTGTGAGTATATGGATAAAAATATTTTACGATGATTTCTGTCGTCTGGGATGTTGTTGTTGTTGCCCTGATGACGGAGGCAGTATGACCTCTGAAACGTTGGTTAACATCTACCTGACTACACAGCGCAACAACCCAGAAGACACAAATCTTCATACTCATCGCCCTGATGACGGAGGCAGTATGACCTCTGAAACGTTGGTTAACATCTACCTGACTACACAGCGCAACAACCCAGAAGACAGAAATCTTCATACTCACCGCTGTGAAAACCTCTAATCTTACATATTTTACGATGTTTTATATTGATCTATATTTCGTTAAAACAAATTTGATTAATAATGTATTTCTGCTGAAATTTTTGGCACGCTGCAGGGGCAGGACTATTCCCAAAGCAGATAAAATGAAGGGTTCTTTGCTGATATGCACATGCCTAAGTTTTGAAGCGTGGACGATGGTATTTTATTGCCTGGTGGTGGCCGATACCTGCGTTGTACTAAGGAACGATACCTCATCGAAGACGATGCTTTTTATATTGGGAGCTTTACAGAGTGGAGTAGTTTATTTTTAGGATAACGATCAGGCCACGGTTAATGGTAAATCAGATCCATGTCCTGTTCATTTTACTAACATACCACCATCCACTTCGTGACCATGTACATGGAAACATCGAATCTCTTTTATGTGGGCCATCAACAGCTTATTACTGAACTGACAAATAGGACTAAACATGAACATGCAATGAGGAATTTATAAACTGTATTTTTCCTTACCCAAAGTTCTGTTTGTTCATCTTGAGGAACATGTTATATTTTTGACCTCAAGTTTGCTGGGCTGCTATCAGACCACCAACGTTCTAATAAGCATTTTCTGGCGGCGTTTTGGGTTAACCTGTTTGTTTTTAATTCCTCGTAATTTCTTAGTAGCAAATTGGTCCCCTTGTTTTGACGTAACGAACGTATAGCATATTAATTATGACATACGTGCACCTGATATATTGATATCACGCGAAGTAAGTTATACAACGAGCTACTCTTGACACTTGTATCGCCGCGAGTGTTCTGTGACAACCTATAATTAGCAGAGTTAAAGAATGTTCACCTGCCACTTACGAACCGGCAACTCTCGGATTTGAGGAGTCCGCTCTTGGTACCTCAGTTAGTTCTGTTATTTTGAATTTATTTAACAGCGCTTTCAATAGCTCAGTCGTACAGCATGGTAGGAATAAAAGAGCTGTTCAGTGCGCAGCTGATGTGACGTACAGTGTGATTATCCTCCACGTATGAATAAATCAACTTGGCAAGAAATAACCCGATTTTAATTGCATTTAATATTTGTAAAACTTTACGAAAAATTGTTTAATCTTTCCAGTTTTCATTCAAATCAGACAATTCTAGCGACAACTTTCATGCAACCACAAGTACTTATTTCAAGTACCTGAAAAATTAGTTGCATTAATGGGTTTTACCTTAGTTCGATAGGCCAGTGTTTCTTAACCTATAGTACGTGTACCACTGGTGGTACGCGAGCCAATCTTGAGTGGTATGCAAACTAAGTAAGCAAATCAAAAGATAATATTAACTTAAATAAATTTTCCCTGAACGCATTTGGTTAGTGGTACATTTAGTGTGTTGAATTATGGTTAGTGGTACTCCAGCGAAAAATGGTGAGAACCCCTGCGATAGGCATTCACTACAGCATTAATTAATTAATATCGATTATTATTCTTAAAGATGGCGTCATACACAGATGAGTTTAATTTTCGTCCTCTCCGAATCGTACATACAGTTTCTCACAATAGAACTGTGTCATGCAGCCGAGATACAAATATTTTAAAATAGCATAAGAACGTTTCCGCGGCAGAAACCTTATAATGGCCTCTCCTGCAGAAAAATCCTCCATAAATTGGCTTGAATAGCACAGCAGTCGATGTTAGCAGCAGGAAATGTCCCACACAACCCAAGTGTTCCAAGTAATCAATCATGCAACGTGCTGACGCAAACAAAAATTCTAGACTGGTTAATAACGTATAATCATTTTGTCGTTTTCATCATACGTACTGAAGTATTATTCGCAAATGCAAGTTTAACCTTCAGAGTTCCCTGCTAATCATACGGCTAGTCTTTCAGATGATTTAATTATTGTAAGTGTGCAAGTAAAATTGCAGTTTAAACAGCGTCATTGAAAGGTTGACAGAAACAGCTGGTGTTTACCTAAGAATAATTTAATCTCCTAAGAAACGTCTATAATCCATCCTGAATGATCTATGGCGTGTAACATGATTATCTGTTGTGGCATTAAAAGACTTAGAGAGTAGAATTAAAATGTTTAAAAACTTAGATGTACTGTTTGGAACTATGAAAAGGAACTCGTCAGAACTCAACGTTTGCTACGGGATGAACAGCCCAGAATTTTCCGTGTAATATCTGAAACTATTAATCACAACCACCGTTATTGTATTTAACTCTTATCTTTACAGCATAACAAAAATGTCTGAATGTCATGGTTGACCAATTAGCAGAACTACTTTGGAGGACTCGGATTCGAATCGCTGTAGGCCTAAGGATACCGACTGCCCTAAATCACTTGGCGTGTTTTTGTTTTCCTAAATATTTCGAATTAAATTTCTGGATACCCCTTAAAATAGACTACTTCCGCTTCTTTCCATACACTTGCAATTTATCGAATACAATCATCCTTCTATTTGTGAAATTTCTACCATTGAGAAACAAAGGACAGCCCCGTTTTTATTTTAACATGGCATACTTGACAGACATTTTAACCAACAGCGAATTTGATTTTAGGTTCCATGTGGACTTTTCCAAAGTATTGTTCCTAAAAACACCTCCCCCTTTCTTAAGTCAGTCAACTGTATAAAACTCGCTGACAAAGTGTGACTGTCGGATGATTTATACTGTGCGTGTGGTCTACCCCGCAGGCGGGCCTGTTGCGCACGGAGTATGGCGAGCTGTGGCTGGAGCCAGTGCGCGGTCATGGCGGAGGTCCGGGCCTTCAGCGACCGCACATCGTGTTCAAACGCTCAGCACACAACGGCGCTAAAAAACGCAAGCGCAAGAGAAGGAAGAGGCACGAGAAGAACTGTGGAACACGTGGTAAGCGAACACGGTCTGTCCTGTTTCATATGACAAAGGATTATGCACAGTTTGACTCCTGGGTTAATTAAATACACGTTTACGACGGCATAGGTCACATGATGCTTTTGAAACCATGTATAAGAAAGCGTCAGTGGCCACCCATTGTCTGGCTGGACTTACAAATACCACGAGAAAGCGAAGTTAGATTAGCTGTCTCGGAGACTTTCTGAATGCAAGGTAGGTGTGATAACCACTCGAAAGCGACGTTCGGTATGGAATAAGAAATGTAAAATAAATTCTGACAATGTGAGGTTAAAGCTTCTCTCGCGGCGGTGAGTACGAAGTTGGCTGTCTTCTGGTTTGTTGCGGTTGTAACTGGGCTAGTGGCTATCAAGCCAGGGGTTGGTGAAGTCCGTCCTACTGTGGTGTTCAGATACGGTCATTTATCAACTTCTACTTTCTGGTACATAAATAGGACAGTAAAAATTAAAATTTAAATTTTGGCGGAAATGAAAATTTTGAATCCAACATGTTCTTCGTAGCGGACTGTTCTGAAATTACTCTAATGCGTGGGTAAAATGAGAAATTCATGCAGAATCTTGGTTGGGAATCCTCAATTTACGATATCGCATCAGAAACATCGTCTTAGACGAGGCAAAACAGGTCTTTGTGAAATAGGATGCGATGATCTGACTGGATTAAGCTGGCTCAGATTAAAGTCTAATATAAGACTTTGTGATAACGGGTTTCTTAAAGTCAGGGAACTGTTTCGTCGACTGAATAATGGTTAATCGCATATCGTGTAGTTTAGAGACAGGTTATTGTGTGCGTTGCTGTGCGTAACTCAAATTCAGGGGATTACTATTATATTTCGAGCCTTAAGCCGAGAAACCAACTCTTGTTTCTCAGATTTGGATTGTATTTTCTCAGACCCTCTTTTAAAAATATTGCAGTACCTTGAAGTAGGCCATACCGTTCCCCATCTTAACTCTGCCACCGTATACAAATTATACACAGTTGTTTTTCAGCTGTTATGAAATGAGTCGAACTGACTTGTTGCGTTTGTTTGACAGAACCAAGGCGCCTCATGGAAACTCGACTCGAATGGAAGCAGCAGGTCGGAAAGGTGAAAGTGCAAGGTCGCGGCAAATCCAGGAAGACCCGGTGGAGACGGTCTGTAAGTAAGGAACGTCACGTTGAGGCCTTGTTGGTCGCAGACACGTCCATGATGAAGTTCCACGAGGACGGCGACGTCGAGACATACGTTCTCACAATCATGAACATGGTCTCGGCGCTCTATCGCGACGCCAGCATCGGAAACAACATAAACGTTGTTGTCGTAAGGATCATACTTCTGGAAGATGACGCCGCTCAGGTAAGTACATAACTTGCTCTTGTGATTTTGGAATGTGAGGAAAGCAACTGAAGAGTAATCCACTTTTCCCTGCCCTCGTCTTATGCATTTCGTGGACGAATATTTCCCCTCCAGTATCCCCAGAAACCGTCATACGCTGCGATTAATTCCCTAATTTACAGACTAACCAATCGACCATTCAACCGAACAGTCCGGACTACGTATTCCATGAAACGAATTCCTTCTTAAGAAACTGATAATCGCTCAGCTGACTGAGAAGTTCCCCACCTTTAATGGAACCCAAATTTTCGTTAACGTGTTCACGAGATCTCGCTCGTAGGATCTGAGGATTTCACGACGGTCAGTCTGAAGATTTCTGTCTTCTTGGTTGTTGCGCCGTATAGTCTGGTAGCTGTGTACCGACGTTTCAGAGGTCATACTGCCTCCGTCATCAGGGCGATGATGTCGGTAAACGTCTACCAGACTACACGGCGCAACAACCCAGAAGACAGCAATCTTAAGTTCCGTCTCGTCTCCCGACAACGACTTCATCAGCAATATATATTTATTTCTTCTAATAGGCCTCATTAAATTGTTCTTTATCATTTACGATTCATTATAATCGTAATAAGACGAGTGATCAGCTTCACGCTCCTATCATTTTTACTCTTGTGGTGTGCGCTCTATATCGCTACATTTCATAACAGGAAGGGTTGTCTGCAGGTCCGTTCTTCAACCAGTAATTGAGATATGACCGCCCATCAACTAAATGGCGCGGCTCACATTATAATGACTTGTTTTTTAGGAGAATGTGAAGTAATTTTCGCTAATTAAGAACTAAAATACATATTCTTAAGCTCGGATGTAATAAAATAAAACTATTAGAACTTCTCTAATCACGTTTGGGCTTCTCCAGCAATAATGTCTGAAAGACAGCACAAATTAAAGATACTTATTATTATCAGGGGTGGAAGTAAAAAATTACAGAACTAGAATGGATATTTCCTCGGGATATTAAACTCGTACTTCGTAATACATGGCATTCATAATCTACTGAGCGCAAGATTTGTGTTTTAGAGTTTTGAAGATAGCCCGTGAAGGTCGAATAAAATGACATGCTAGCGGCTATTCAGGAAGGGCGTAGTTTTGGAAATGTATACTAAATGACCGGTTATGCATATTTTGATAAAGGGGCTATTAGTTTCGCAGCAGGTATTATAGTTATTAGCAATGAAGAAACGTATTTCACATTCTGATACGTGTAGGCGTACTAATTATGTCTGTAAATAAGTAGGTGTTATTAACTTGCGAGTTAATTCAAAATACGGTATTCATATAAACTTATTTGGAACATGAATAGGTCTATAGTATCTGTCACATTCGCTGCACAACTAGGTCTATATTTTCTATATCTTACCACAGCCACGTGTTTCGACTTGTAATCAGTCTGATGATGATTGGTCAGGAGAAAGTAACATGAAAATGTTATTATTGGATCCTTAGTTGGTGTTTGTTTCTCCCTTACGTATAGGCTAAACCTGGTCTTTAAGGAAATTGCTATGAAGGCCTTAGATGGAGATTGTTATGGTTTTAAACGTTTGAAGCCGAAGAAGGGGGAGGGGGAGAAATAGACAATTTAGGCCCATTTCTGGAGGGAGAAGGAGTGTATTATTGTTATAAGATTTCCAGGCAGTGCTCGCTTATCCTCTGATAAGGATAGAATGAGATTGAATATATTAGTATGGTAAGCAGTAGAAGCTTGGCACAGAGACAGCAAAATTGTTGTTTTCGTCTTAATATGTGTTGAAAGCATAATTTTGAAATTTAAGTATAAATAATAGACCTGTTTAAAAATTCGATCTATACCTCAGCGAAGACACAACACTTCTCGATTGTAAAGTTTAATCGGTAAACACTGTTTAGAGAAATGGACCTCTGAAGCGTTTGTAAGCTTCTACCAGACTACGCAGTGCGTCAACCAAGAAGACAGCCATCTTCGAACCCACCGCCGTGAAAACCTGAAATCCAACTTAATTTCCTGTATTTTTTAGCAGTTAAAGCAAGCAAGAGACGATGAAAGTATCAATTGTTTCAGAAAACATAGAAAATTTCGTATCTGTTGTTGTGGTCTTTCAAGTTACTATATTCTGTATCGATTGTCTTAAATTAGCAGAAACACATAAGGATCTTGTAAAATATGGATTTGATAATTCGGTATTTTTACTGAAGAAACTGATATAGTTAAAAGTTTTATCTGCCACGTCTTCTTTCACGTTTTAAAGTTTATTTGTATGCTATCTCTAGCTATAGTCTAAATGCTTCGTGCAGATGATCACACAAAACTCTGGCCTACAGCCAGAGAATATAGAAGTGTCTAATGAATTACGCGGTGGGTTTGCCAGAATGAAAAAAAATCATTGGTAAGATTATAAAATAAACTTCGCGTGTTTCATGGACCCCCTACATCAAAGTTACACATATTAGGACTGACCGAGGAGTGAGAGATTTCTGAAGCGTTGTAAATTTGTGGGTGCAGAGGAAAGAAAATCTTAGATTATATGCAGGTGAGTGAAAAGTTAAGGAGGATGCTCTCCGTCTCGATTTCCCCAAATTTCCGACCCCCTGATAAAGTTAACCTACAAAGCTTCCCCACCCTCGACGTCCATGCACATCGTGATGCCCCTTTTCTTGTGTTCCAGAAAGACCTGAACATCACAGTGAATGCTGACGAGACCCTAGACAGCTTCTGCAAGTGGCAAATGGGTTTGAATCATCCTGAGGATTCTCATCCGAACCATCATGACGTGGCTATTCTTGTCACAAGGTATGTTTGCCAGGGCTGTCTACTTTCTGTTTGTAAAAAACAGGTTCCCTACAGCCATACAATTCATAAATTTAACATGTAGGTCAATAAATGAAATTACTTCACAAAATGACGTAATTTCGAGAACCACTCAATTAAATTAACATAATAGTTGAAGGGTTAATATCATATAAAATATAAAGGATTCCCAGTTCATTTTAATTTTTATGAAAATTTTTGAAATTAGACCATGTACCTCACGACAGTACAACAAATAATATGTATTACGTAAGCCTCTAACTTAACCAAACATGCTGGTTTGTATTCTCCACTTAATCCAACGCGTGTTTATCCTATAAGCCTATTTTTTCCCAAAGAAAGGGAAATTGACTAAGAACCCAGAAGTATTCTATAAGAAAGTTCCCTTACTCCCACACCTACAGACTGCTATCTACAAGAATATCATATCAGTAGTAATTACGCTTTTGTGACCATCTATAAGAACAGCTTGTTAAGAAATTAGCAGTTTTCCTGCTGTTATTAATCTTGCTAGTTTTGCTTATTGCTGTGACAGCTGTAACAACTTAAGAAACTGGCGTGCAAAAGAAACGACCTTGTGCTGCTGCCAAAATTTGCCAAACAGGTCACTTTTGGGCTGTCTGCCTTTAACATTGGCATATACTACAAACTACGCGAACGCTGCCAAATTGTGTTGTTTACTTCACTAATATCAGTAGACACGAAAACAAGTACACAGGATTTTGCTCTCTTTTTAGTGAAATCGTCGGCACAAAGTTACGTGATGTTTGCTAAAGTTAGAACTGTTAAATTCTTTTGTTCCTGTCTCATCTCAATTATGCAAGAGCTACAGTCCAGTGCTCTGTTCCCGCGTTTCAGTGAGTCATTGAACTGTGTGATTGCAATATACACTAGGAACAGCTTGAGCTTTATCTGTATCTAGAAATGTAGTAAAGTCAGATAAAACGATTTCATTGTGTTGCGTTTTAGGAGGTCTCTCTTACGTGTGGTTTGCGGAGTAAGTAATTCTTGCAGCAGTCAATTAAGTAATACGCGATTCTTATTAAGCCAGTGTCATATGTGTTGCAGTGAAACTGTTGCGGAAAAAAAATTGACAGGCAGTGTCGGACATTGCCGCAGTTATTTTCGTGAAAACGTCAATCGTGTATAGTATATTGAAATTAAACAAAAATTTTGTTTTGAATCGTTTAATTCATTTGCAACTTTTTAAAGTAGTTGTCAGCCCCGGTACAAGTACAATTTTGGGACCCCGTCGCCATATTGGGTATGCCAAGTGGGTCCGATGGGTTTGGGTCGACCTCCATTGCACTCTCCATCTCATCAGCAACGAAATCCACATCCATACTTGACCCAGGCTCATCAGATGCCGCCTGAGTTGTCCGAGCGCGCTTACGTTGCCTATATTCGCGGCAGTACTGCGCGTTGGTTTTGGGTCCGGGCCCGGCGTTATCGGTGTCATTCTCTTTGGAATTTTGTGCTCTACGCATTCGTCCCCGATTTTTGTAATTCTGGTTTTACTTTGCCCTCATATATCGCAACATTTTAAGAAAATCGGGAACTTTTAAACCTTTTTCAAATTCACAGCCTCGTATCTTTTTGAGTTTTTTAGATACACACTTGGAGGCCACGATGAGTTGTAACATATACACTCCTCTTCAAAACAACACTTGGTTCACTCGGATCGGATAATTAGTCTTTGAGATATGATCCCGTTTATGGACACGTGTCGAATCCGGAAAGTCGAAAATCGTGGGTTCACTTTGCGCGTGCGCAGTTCCCACAAATATCGGAGCGGTACTGGCACACACTTTCATCCTTCCTCTTTAAAACGAGACTAAGATGGCGGCGCTATTTCTATTTTTAGCCGAGTTATTGAAGTTTGAAATTACTTCGACAGAAACTGTCGCTCATTTGGGCGCGATTGCCTCCCCACACCCGGCATCGATTTTAAAGACGTTTTCACGTCAATAACCCATTATGAGAGAGTAAAATATAAAAACACGCGTGTCGTAGATGCCGTAAAGTCGAAGAAAGAAAATAAAGAAAGAACAAAATAATCCTCTTCTTCTTGGGTAAAACACATTTACTTCTTCCTATAACAAAAATCCCGGACTCTTTCGTGAAATGTTTGTGCCTTGTAAGTCCATCTTATGGTATGTGTGTTCCATGTAACTGGAGGGAGGATATCTGTGCACGCCAGAACACACCATGCAGCACACTGGGTGTGGCACATGTGGGAGGAATGTGCCAACCTGATCGGAGCTGCAATGTCAACGAAGATAATGGGATCACCCTCGCTCACACCATCACACACGAGATGGGACACAAGTATGTTCACTGCACAACAAACGGGCTTTGTGTCGGTCAAACATTCTGTCACTATTGCGGGTAAACGTGTAGTGAAGCTAACAGCAACATGCGTTTAAAATAATCTCTTTACTTATTTTTAAGGTTATGGTAACGAAGGTCACGTAATTATTTGTTCTTAATATTAGTTTCCGAGTTACAGGAAAAGCCCTAGCCTGGTATCGGTTTGAGGACACATTTTTCTCGAATTTTAAAGAAGAATCATCCCAAACGTTTTACAAATTGATGTTTTTTGACGTAAATACATCTATACGGAAGGATCATTCGGCAAAAACAGCGTTAGTTACGAAGATGTGTAAGATCCAGCGCCGAGTCACCTTTAAACGTTCATTCTTCAAAAATGATCAGTAAATAAGAACCTTTAAGAATCTGTAATGTATTTTATTGTATTTATAATTGTTTATACATTTATTGTAATTTTAATGAACCAATGTGTGCAATTTTCAATGCATCTGGCGCTTTAAGCGCCCGCCTCTCGAAAACCGTAAGATATGGATCCGGACATATTGCGTACGAAATACGTATTACTTCTTGAGCTTTCCATATCTGTTTTCAGATTTTACATATCACGAATGGTTTAGGTTCTACAAACATTTATTTATACAAATAGAGGCGCATCACACTTCACGCTACTGCTGCATTTGTGTGTTGCGTCATACTATGTAGAGATAACAAGATGGATGACATTGAAGCTAACAGAGTCCGTAATGCAGAATATATGAGACAGTACAGAAAACGTAAAAAAATATAAGTATTAAATAATGAACCTGAAGTTCCCAAAAAAATACCAAAAACTAATGCTGAACGTATGAGAGAATATAGAAATCGCAAGAAGCAATTATTGCAAGTTATCAAGCTAATATATAAACTTCCTTTTGTTGTATTTATTTCCTAAATATAATTTAAATACAAAGAAGTATTTATGTCAGATTCTCCGGAACCGTGGTTCCACTGTCAATTTTTTCCTAACAATAACGGAGCCCAATTTTTTAAAAGAAACTGTCGCAGACTCTGAATTCAGCCTGACACAAAGTTAAAAAGTCAAAAAGTGATGATGCTTATATGTTGCCTTCAGTTTTGGCATGTACCACGACACAGAGAAGATTGGCTGCAGCCGTCGCCAAGGAAACACCTTACATGTGATGACACCCAGCTTCGAAGCTGATGCTATAGAAGTAGCGTGGTCAAGCTGCAGCAGGCGTGACATCACAAACTTCCTCGAGTGAGTGAGTGACTAGCAAATTTCTGATAATTTGTGTAGATCAGTAGATAAAGAAGTGTTCTCCTGTGACAACTGTTCAACTAGATTAGCATACTTCACTGAAAATATTTTCACATTTTTTGTAGACTTAAGCAGAAAATCAGATACATACTAAGAATTTTAAAACTTTACATACCATTTAGTGTATTAGAATATAAAATAAGCAACAAACAACTATTAACACTATAAAAAAAGACACTATTGCCATACACGTTTCAACCTCAAGAGGTCATCATCAGTGGCATCATGGAAATTAATTCATGTAATCAAATGGTTTAAACTGGATTTAGAAAATAAATAATGAAAAGGGTATTTGACAAAAGTATTTCAAGCGATACTGCATTAGATGTTGTTATTCACAATTCACAAGGGTTGAACTCTATTGATCTGATGGTCCGGTGGCCGTAGCTGGTCTGCAACGAGCTGTGGTTTCATCATCTGAACCTGTGAACTCCAGAATAGTGTGTGTGCAGTATCGCTTGAAATACTTTTGTGAAATACCCTATTCATCGCCCTGATGACGGAGGCAGTATGACCTCTGAAACGTTCGTAAACATCGACCATACTACACAGCGCAACAACCCAGAAGGCAGAAATCTTCATACTCATCGCCCTGATGATGGAGGCAGTATGACCTCTGAAACGTTGGTAAACATCGACCAGACTACGCAGCGCAACAACCCAGAAGACGGAAATCTTCATACTCTGATGATGGAGGCAGTATGACCTCTGAAACGTTGGTAAACATCGACCAGACTACGCAGCGCAACAACCCAGAAGACGGAAATCTTCATACTCTGATGATGGAGGCAGTATGACCTCTGAAACGTTGGTAAACATCGACCATACTACACCGCGCAACAACCCAGAAGACAGAAATCTTCATACTCACCGCTGTGAAAACCTCAAATCTTACTTACTAAAACATTTCTGTGTACTTACAGCCAAGGGAGTGGCCAGTGTCTTGAAGATGAGCCCACGCAGAATGATTACAACTACCCAGATCTCCCTCCCGGAGCGATGTATAATGCAGAGCATCAGTGCAGATTACAGTTTGGAACACATACGACAGCTGTGTGCACACCTCTTGAGGAGGTTTGTCTCATTTCTAGTCATTAAAGTGTCAGATTATAGGCCTTGGTACAATACTTCATTTACTATAAATTGTTAATAACTAAACAAGTAATCTTACATCAGCTACTTATTAAATCCAAACCTGTATACAAAGATGTCACCCGATTTCACGTTTTGATACGTCGGGTCTTGTGGCGGCAAGTATGAAGGTCAGCTGGTCGTCGTACCATGCAGTCTGGTTGAAGTTTACCGATGTAGCAGTACTGCTTGCTGCTTCAATCACCTGCCCTGATGATGGAGGCAGCAAGCACCTCTGAAATGATGGCAAACCTCTACCAGATTACATGACACAACCTCAAAAACAGTGATCTTCAATTTTATTGTATTTCCATATTTGGTTGTATATCGATTGTAATATTGGAAGGGAAGCGTGCACAAGAGAGAAATTAGCGTTCGGAATATATGATTGTTACTTTAGATTGCATATTTGATGGTATGATAGATATTTCTTTACTTGTGGTAAGTTATTTCATTATGGAGCAGAAATAAGTACTTGACTTTTCAAACCTTATTCTGTATTCTGCTCTCAATGTGGGAGACCAAGTTTATCACCCACACAGAACAACAGGTATCTTGAACTGACCTTTTTATCCTAAAGACAGAAAATTACAATTTGCGAAATAGAATGTTAGGTAGCAATCAAATTTAAATTATTTATTGTGTATATGTAAAAGAAAATTGCTGTTACAGATCTGCTCACGACTCTGGTGCGTGGTGGAAGGAGCGTGTACCACCATGTTACGCCCTGCTGCAGCAGGAACGCATTGTGGGAAACACATGGTGAGCTCATGGGGTGAGGGAGAGTGTGATTATTTCTAGCTGTAGGACTTCCCCCCCCACCCCCACCATTTTATACACCCCATCCAAACCCTAGTCTGCACTTCTTGAAGTCATATCTTTACGCTTAGACCAAAAATATGCAAGTAGGCGTATACGAAAACATCTTATTGTTTTTATTTACCAGTATCTTCTTTGTATCAACTGAAATTCTTATCACTTAAAATGTATTATAACGCAACCTTCTGACTAAATAAGTGCTGACAACAGGCCGCCACGGTTAGAACGCTGGGCTTGTAATACTGGGGTCCCGGGTTCAATTCCCGGCGGTGCTCTGATTTACAACTTGTGTTGAGCAAGGCCGTGGTCCAGGCATCACGGAGTTTTCCTCTGGGGTTTCCCCGGTTTCTCCGTGGCATCCCAACAATTACTCCACTTTCATCAAAGGGGGTCACAGCAGGAACGTTAAATGCCGCGGTCCCGGTCGAACCCATGTACTGATGGGTCGTGAATCCTGCTAACCACCAATGCACAAGTCTTACAATGCACACCATGCTGAATGTGTGTACTGGACACAAAAAAAGTGCTGACCACAGTATTGCACATGGAGTCTAAGAATTTTGAGAATGTAGTATTATTTGATATATTTTTTGGTAAAAGTTTTTTCTTTAAACCACAAGGTACATGTATAATAAAACCTGTCCAACTCTCAGCAGAAATAATCTCTCCATTCTTCTCAGATGGGCCCCATCTTTATGCCTGGTAGGTTTACGGAGCATCATATCCAACCATTTTCCGTTCCTACGAGGTGTTTGCACCAACCATGAACTCATATTCTTTCTGTAAAATTAAAGATTTTAACTTGTTTTCATGATGGGCCTTAAGCATCAGAATCTCCTTACCAATTTGGCCTAAATTTATTCTCACAGAAATACAAGTAAATTGGTCTTTCTCTGAGTATTTCAGTTTTTCCTGTCAGTAACCACTTTACCCGCGATTCAACTTACCTCACTCTGTCCCTGGCAGGTACGATATATCCAACTGACTGACACATTATTATAACCTCAGTAAAAAGTAAAGCTGTCCCACTATACGCCATGTATGCGCTTTGGGGGAGTGGAGGTATAGCTCCTACTCATTCTTGACCTCGGCACTAGATGGGGGTGAGTGGTCAGCATCACGCCCCGACCGGCTTTACCCACGGGAAAGGACCCCCAGTACGCATTGGATAGGAGGCTGGGTGGGCCCCAGAGCCGGTCTGGACGCAGAGGCTAGAGGAAAAATCCTCTGCCCCGTTGGGGATCGAACCCCAGTCCATAGCCAGTCACTATACTGACTGAGCTACACCAGCTCACATTATAACCTCACTGCTTAACACTTTTCCCCCAGTTGGATGGATTCATACAAAGGAAAATCCATTTCTCAGTGACAAAGAATACGTTCATGAACTGCCGCAGAATTTTGACGGCAGTGATGATTTCTGTCGCAGTGGTGCTTGAACCAGCAGTGTGTGACAATAGGTGAAAGACCAGAAGCAATCCATGGTGGCTGGAGTGACTGGGGCTCATGGAGTGAATGTTCACGGACTTGTGGTGCTGGAGTATCTATCACAGAACGTCAGTGTGACCACCCAGTTCCAGCTTTTGGAGGAAAGTTCTGTGTTGGTGAACGTCGAAGATACAGAGTCTGTAACACCGAGGTGGGCATAATGAACACTAGTAGTGCCGCACATCTTCATCGACTCGATGAAATTTCTTCCATTTATTCCTACGCTATATTACTTACTCTGGCTTTTAAATTCTGTATTTTGTGGAGTAAGGGGTCTACAGATTATGGTATAAATGTCTTGTTTAATTATCATCTTACTCAAACAAAAACATAACGGTTTGACAGTTTTAGGAATGCCAGATTATTTATAATTTTACTGCCTTAATCTTTAATTGTAAAACTATTTGCTATTTAATTAGTCAAGAAATATTTATGTTCCATCAAGCTGATTCAAAATTTGAAAATGTGCTCGTGTTTGTTGATATTGCTGATCTTTTATTTCTGCTATCATTTATTGTACTTTGCTGCTGTTATCTGTGTATTCTATACCTGACGTACATTCCTAAAAGTCCACATCACTTTCCTAGTGAGAGTATAAAGCAATAAGGACTTGTAGCTTGACTTTTTCTTGTCTGAAATTTAAAATTGCTATGCATTTCTCTGTGTGTTTTATAGCCATGTCCAGATGGTGTGCCGAGCTTCAGGGCTGTTCAGTGTTCAAATTATAATGGTCAGGAGTTTCATGGAAGAAATTACACATGGCTTCCTTACTTTGACAAAAGTAAATAGTTAATTCTATTTTACAGTTTCTAATGCTATTATTTTTTAGCTTCTGTTGATCGTTAATAAGATTGAAGGAGATGACAAACCAAAACTGACATCTACATTCTAATCCAGGTCCGTAAGGAAGTTTCCTAGTGAATTAAATCTTGCATTAATTTGCATTCGTTTTTTTATAGTTTGTTATTATTGAAAGTTTATTGAGACAGATTTTTCTTGCTTCTATCATTTCTCGAGCTACTTCAGCTGTTCATTACATAACGGTTGTTGTAACTTTTTAAATAACTTAAAAGAGTTTTATAGTTCAAAGTATTTCATTATTAATCAGTCAGTGTGTTATTGAAAGCCAAAATTAGTATAACTATTGATAAAAAAAACCAAAGCCACTCTGTCAGAGAATGTGTGATACTGCCTATTTGAAGAAATAATTTTAGTTTTGTGTTTTTCAGGTTATGTGATTTATATTCAAAACCATGACAAATATATAACACATTGTTTCTGTGTAGCGGAACCTTGCGAACTCTACTGCACTGACACGGATGACACTGTGATAGTCCCATGGGGAGATTCTGTGATAGATGGAACACCATGTAATGTTGGCACAAGAGACATGTGTATTAGTGGAATCTGTAAGGTAATAAATAGATTTAAATTTAATATTTACAATACTGCATTCTTCAATATCATACTAAGTAAGCCACTCAGTAATTAAAACCATAACATCAACTGTTTTCTTCATGAAGATTTCTGTCTTCTGGGTTGTTGCGCTGTGTAGTCTGGTCGATGTTAACCAACATTTCTGAGGTCATACTGCCTCCGTCGTCAGAGTATGAAGATTTCTGTCTTCTGGGTTGTTGCGCTGTGTAGTCTGGTCGATGTTTACCAGCGTTTCAGAGATCATACTGCCTCCGTCATCAGGGCGATGAGTATGAAGATTTCTGTCTTCTGGGTTGTTGCGCTGTGTAGTCTGGTCGATGTTTACCAACGTTTCAGAGATCATACTGCCTCCGTCATCAGGGCGATGAGTATGAAGATTTCTGTCTTCTGGGTTGTTGCGCTGTCTAGTCTGGTCGATGTTAACCAACATTTCTGAGGTCATACTGCCTCCGTCGTCAGAGTATGAAGAATTCTGTCTTCTGGGTTGTTGCTCTGTGTAGTCTGGTCAATGTTTACCAACGTTTCAGAGGTCATACTGCCTCCGTCATCAGGGAGATTCATCTACACAGCACAACAACCCAGAAGATAGAAATCTTCATACTCACCACTCTGAAAACCTCAAATATTACTTGTTTTCTTCATGTTGATGAGTGTCCTCTTCTGAGCTCCTTGGGCTAGCATTGTGTCTTGTTTTTATTAGAATATATCAAAGCAATGTTAGAAACATTCACGTTGTTATCCATGTTTACTTTAGTCCTTTGAATCAATGCTGAAACCCTATAAATCTTAATTTTAGTATGCTCAAATTCTACTTATGATCAAAACTTGTAACTCATATTTCTGCTCTGCCAAGATGACTTCAGAACAGAGTCTTGAACTGTCATAGTTTCTTCCAGTATCTTTCAAATGGGTGAGCCTCACATCTTTGTAATACTTTCACTGTAATCAATTTAAATACAAGTTTCAACCTGCATAACATCCCATAGAACAGCTTTAGACAGAACATTTTTGCCCATAATCTTCTTCTTCTGTGGTTCTCCGGTCCGTGTTCGGTCCATGGCCTCCTCAATTCTCCTCTTCCATTTGGTCCTCTGTTAGGTCCGTCTGTCCGAGGCTTTGTTCGAGGTTTCAAAACATCTTCCTTTTTACGGTGCAAGGACCAGGGTACTTATCTTAGTCTAACCTCTCCCCCTCGACCAATCTGGCTAGGGAGGCCCTAGCAGTAGTTATGCTACTGCCACTGAGGTACTCAAGCCCCACCACCACGACAAGGTGCAGGTACCATTAAGTGGGGTGTCCATAATCTACTGTAAGCATTTCTTTGTTCTTAAAATTGTACTTCTGTAGTGCTGAAAGAATGGAGGTTTATTTATTCACACAACTTATTTATTGAATTGTGATCTTCCAGGTTATGATGTCATGCTGTTGTTTTTTGTTTTGTTTGTTTGTTTTTTTTTTCAGCGAGTGGGTTGTGACTGGGAAGTAGACTCTGTTGCCAGGGAGGACAGATGTGGAGTTTGCCATGGTGATGGGAGTCAGTGCAAAACTCAGAAGGGAGTGTATACCAAGAGAGAAGGAACAGGTGATCACAGACCAGCCTTGTGCCTTATCATTTGTTATAATTGCCAGTATCTATAACCTTACCTTTGACTAGACATGCAGTTTGTATTTCATTCCTGAGTAATTCAGAATTTATCACCAGCCATATTATTATACATATGTTATGAATCAAGCATGTGAATTTTACATCTGCAAATGTTCGTAAATTAATTCTGTTACACAGAGAAGTTTTATGTTTGTTGTGTAGGTTATAAAGAAATTGTGGTCATCCCTGCTGGCTCCAGAAACATTAAAGTTGAAGAGGTTGGCAACTCGAGGAATTATATTGGTATTGGGAGTGCTACCTCTGGGAGGTTCTTCCTGAATGGGAAACGGTAAATAATTATTTCATTCTCGCGGAATAAACAAACATTCTGTAATGATATATTTTACAGAAAACAACTTCCATTCGCCTGCAACCCCAAATTAAGATTATAGTTGTGGAGAGTGAAAAACATTTCCTTCACTTTTGAAGGACTGATTTTACTTTAATTAGGTCTGAGGCAACATAAGCTCATAGCCCATATGCACATTGTGATATACAGTGTGTCCACAAAGTCCCTTCGGAGTTTTGAAAAATGGTGGCGCGCAAACAAATTGAGCTAGCCACATGCGGTTTGCGGCAGATTATAGTGAAACTCTGGAAGATGGTGCTCCACGTCATTGGGGTCTACAGGTATGCGCGTACCTAGACAGGACATTTCCAGGAAGATGGATCGGCAGAGACGGTCCAATGCCTTGGCCTCCAGGTTCACCAGACATAACACCACTGGATTTTTTCCTGTGGGGTTATGTCAAGAGCAATGTGTTCCTAACACCAGTTAACGGACTTGATGACCTGAAGACCTGTATCAGGAATGCGATCTCGGCTATTCCAGCGGACATGCTCTACAGAACATGGCAAGAGCTCGAATATCGTCTGGATGTTCTCCGTGCTACCAAGGGAGCTCACATCGAGGTCTACCGAGGTCAGTTTGTTTGCGCGCCACAATTTTTCAAAACCCCGAAGGGACTTTGTGGACACACTGTACTTGTAGCACAACATACTAACTTCAGTTCTGAATGACAACCATATTTTGTAAGATAATTAAAATACTCCTTAAACTTGGTTCTGCAGACAGATCACTTTGGCCGGAGAGTACCAGGTGGCAGGCACGCCTGCACTTTATGAGAGAGAGAGGGACTGGGAGAAAGTCCGCATCCCTGGACCAATCAAAGAGGATATATTAATCTATGTGGGTACATATTCCACCATGTTTCTTAATATCTGCCAATCTTTAAAAAATCTGAAATTATCATGAATCTTACAATCATGATGAGCAATTATTAGTGTTTTTCTATCTCGGAACAGGCCAATAGGCCTAAACCTTGAAAGATAATGATGAAATGTGGAAGCATGTGATTCTGTTATGCATCTACATCTATTGTGTTACAGCTTATCTACCGAGGCAGATACCGTAATTTTGGATTAAAATACGAGTACACAGTCCCAAGAAAGAAACCTTTACGTGTGCCAGAGTACAACTGGATCTTCTCGGACTGGTCACCTTGCTCTGCGACATGTGGTGGTGGTTCACAGGCATCACATCCAGTGTGCCAAGAGAAAGAGGAAGGGGCAGTGAGAGATGAACTCTGCAATAACACAATAAAACCTGACCAGCTCGTGCGAGTATGCAACACACATCAATGTCCTGCTAGGTAACCGACATGTAATGATAATTGTCTGATATTAATATATTTGCTGCTGTGGTTATTTAATCCTTCCCGAGCCAGATTATTTCAATCTGAGTTTCAGGACAGTATAGCATGGAATGTATTTTTCCTGCTTAACAAGTGGTCAGTTGTGCATTCAAGAGGTTATCTGCGTGTACACGTGTAAATATTTTTAAATTCTTGGTTCAGAATATTGAATTATTTTTCATTATTTACATATTTCCATGTTAGCCACTTAAAAACTGATTAATATTGTCCTAGCAACATTATGTGTATAAACTGTAGTGCTATATTATAAAAACATAATTACTTTCATTTTAGGAGATGAAATAGAAGATATTGTTCTTTAACAATTTTCTAAAGGTTATGAATTCTCCTTTTATTGAGATTACACTGCAAGTCACTAAAAGTTATTTATATGTCTCTAGACTTGTCACCTGCACATATCTGATTCAAAATTGCTTTCCATATGACAAGATATCCCTTATTCAGTGAAATAGTCATTTAACTAATATAGATCATATGATTTATACTTTTGTTTCTAGTAAAAATAAAGTTTCTGTTGACACTGGCTTCATTAATATCTAATTTCTCTGTGCAGATGGTGGATTGGTCCCTGGCAGTTGTGTCCAGTGACTTGTGGGGAGTATGCCATGAGGAAACGCACAGTGATGTGCGTTGTTCTTCATTCTGAGGGTTCTGATGGTCGTGAGATGGCTCTTCCAGACAGAGACTGTGAAGGGCAGGAGAGACCTGGAGAACATGAACCTTGCCCCAACTTACCACCGTGTGCTACCTCCTCGACTTCAAGTCCTTCTCCTGACTATGCAGCTACTTCTGGCTTCATATCTACTTCAACGGCACCTCTATCAGAAGACGATTTCATTATTGATCATGGTGATACTGATGAAGAAGAGTTTGGAATATTAAATTCAAATTCCAGTTCAGTAACATCAGACACAGATGACTCATTGCAGGATGAAGAGATCCTACTTAACAGTATTACGACTGACAGAACTTACGAGAATATTGTACAGTTTGTGCACAGTGGCGAGAATTCGTCTGCTAACACGGTGCATGATAGTGGAAGGAGAGATGAGAGAGTAAATGTGGGTGGTTGGGCAGTGACACCTTGGAGTCCTTGTTCCGTGACATGCGGTTCAGGTGTTAGGACTAGGAGTGTTGTGTGTACTAAGCAACATGGCATATGTAGTCTGAATATCAAACCTATTGTTTCAGAGTACTGCCACACTCGACAGCATTGCAGCTATCAGCAAGGACTGGGTGAGTTGTAGAGGTTACTAATTAATACAGTAATTGCTATTTAGTTAAGAACACTCTCAATGCAAAAGATGACTTGCGACATCTTAGCTGATCATAGAAATATGCTGTATTTCCTACATACATTCTCCAGTTTCCACAAAACCTTGGGTCATGTTAAAAATTTTGAGGAATCAGAACTTGAACCAATTAGAAGAACATAATATTGAGAGTAGTATTTATTTTATATGGTCAGTCGATAATATTAGGATAAAAAAGAGGTTAGCACTCCTGATTCAGATACATTAGGTCTCAAGTTCAAATTTCTGCATAGAAACTGGTGATCATGACTAAGGGTGTTTGTTCTCAGTCTTTCTAGGCAAATACTCGAATGGCACTTTAAATCAGGCCATGATCACTTTGTTCCAAATCATTATTCATTAATAATCCTGTCTTTTAACACTTTTTTATTTAAGCTACTGACTGCATTATTAAATAGACCTTAGAATGTAAGATTTAAGGTTTTCACAGTGGTGAGGATGAAGATTTCTGTCGTCTGGGGTGTTGCGCTCTGTAGTATGGTCAATGTTTAACAACGTTTCAGAGGTCATACTGCCTCCATCATCAGGGCGATGAGGATGAAGATTTCTGTCGTCTGGGGTGTTGCGCTCTGTAGTATGGTCAATGTTTAACAACGTTTCAGAGGTCATACTGCCTCCATCATCAGGGCGATGAGGATGAAGATTTCTGTCGTCTGGGGTGTTGCGCTCTGTAGTATGGTCAATGTTTAACAACGTTTCAGAGGTCATACTGCCTCCGTCGGCAGGGCGACCAAACTACACAGCGCAACACCCCAGAAGACAGAAATCTTCAGACCTTAGAATGTTTGTTGTGCTAGAATTATAATTATTTTCTTCTGTTCTTTTGTCTGCCTTGGTATCTGTGAGCCCTTCCTAGAAAACGGTTTTGTTTCTTCTCCTACCCAATTTCATACATTTATAAAGTGAAGCTTTCAAGGTGACTGAAGTTGATGAAAGACTCCCAGGCTATAAGCCACGTCAGGTGGCTGAATGGTGAATACACCATATCCTGTGCCGTTTCAAGAACCGTTCCCAATGGCGAACACGCTTCAGAGAACCAGTTTGTTATGCAGCTGCCCTGAGGATGACAGCAGAGATGGCTCTTGAAACGTTGGCACAGGATATGGTGTATTCACCATTCAGCCACCTGATGCGGCTTGTAGCCGAGATTCTTTCATCACCTTCATACATTTACTGTATTTGCATTTGCAATAGCCATTTTATAACGAATTTACGTTTCACAGGCTGGAGATCAGAAGTTCCTACAGACTGTGAAGACAAGTTATTGTCTAGCCTGTGCAGCTCATTCCGACACATGTGCCCCACGTCATGGTACATCAGAATGAAGTGTTGCAATACCTGCAGATAACATTACTGTAATGATGTAAATTCCTTAGTGTCTGTAATAAAGTTGCTCTTTATTGTAACTTCATGTGTTTCAGAATGTTGTAGCCTTTATAAAATCAAACCCTGGCTATCCACCTCATAATTAGTCACTACACTAACAGCTATTCTGGCACTTACCGAACACTAAATAATGATGAAAGAACTGGATATGTTATTAATTGCAACAAACTTTAATTTTCAGGTTTTATTGTTAAGTGCTTTAAACTGTATTGTGTTTCTATTAAAATTATAGAGTTAAAATATTAAGAGGGTATAATGTGTTTTGATCATTTTCTTAAATGTGTCCATTTTTATATATTGAATTGTATTTATGTCTGCTTGTGTTTAAATTTGATAAAATTCCTGTTTTGATTCAGAATTTTCCAAAATTCCAAGTTAAAATAAATTGTGTTAAGATCGCTTTTGCTAATGACGTCTTTGACTTGAGGTCGGGGGAAGGGACATTTCGGCTAAAGGCCTACAAGTTTGGGTAAGACGGGGAATGCCCCCTTTGAATTATTCCTGGAATTTGCCTTACATCAGGAGTAGCACGGTAAACCTCAGTTAGGGTATCCTGGACACTCCACGATCCGCCACTTCATTTATAGCATTAAGAGATGTTGCCATGTACAATGTAACTTGGAGAGTCACTTAAGTATGGATCTTTCGGTACAGAAATTGTGGATAGATTCAAAGCAACAGTTCATAGTCACTTTTACCTACAGTCTGGCAGACGGCAGGAAAACCCTAAATATCAGAGCCTGGACTGGAAAAACGTAGTGTTTCATGCCTTTGTTTCCTGAATTGCTCATGTTCTGATGGTGGTAACACATTGTTCATTATTTACTACTCAGCATTGGCTACACTGTTCGGAACCGGTTCTTACTTGAAAACACCAATCAGAATAGTACTGAATTTAAAGTGATATTTACCGTTTTGAACAAAACAGTTTACGTGTTAAGTGTATGTGTTTGAATGTTTGCCGGAAAGGAAAATCTTTTCTGTAGCGTTGTAGTAATTATTCTGTTTCTTAGCATTTGAAGTGTGTTTAATGGTGAGGATAAATTTAGGTGAAAGACGCGAACACATGTTTCTACATTAACGCGAACTTTTAATCCCAGTAGTGAAATTCCCATATAGATTCTCTGTTGAAATTTACTGGATAATTTTAAGAAATTTATATCATGTATGGGCAGTACGGTCAATGTGGACTGCTCAGTGTGTACGATGGAGATTCCAGTAATTCAGGATCATTATCTTTTCCTGGAGCTACTTCAAATCGGAAGAAGAAAAGAGGGTCGTAAGTATTCTGCCAGGTTGTGAACCATGTTTTCAGAATATATTGCTATGGCAAGTTAACTGATATAGCAGTACCCAAAAAAAATATGTACATTATTATAGAATCACAACCAAGATAATTTTTTGTGCTCGGTGTGTATTGTAAAGCATTTAGTTTGTGAAGTGCTGAACACAGCCATAAAAAATCGGTATTGTGGAAATACCTGTTTACACTTCTGGCATTAAGCAGAACTCTGTGAAACGTTCTTTGCATATTGATTGCACATATTTGTAATAAAAACTGGCAAATAAATGTAAGAATAACAAGAAATACACCTGTGTAAAGCATAACCATCATAGAATATACATGTATTGTTTATACGAATTATTTGATTAAACTTACTTGTGTCACAGATGTTTACCATCTACTGGCCATTTACTTTGTATGATACCTAATTTACTACAATATATACCATTATATTTTATTCTTTATGTACTTAATTACCAGTAACATCTTGTTTTATGTTTTAAATGAAACATTTAATAAAAACATACCTGGTAATGCCTATTATTAGAATATTATCATGCTTCATTCATTTTTAATATTGTTTAAATGTGAATAATACATTTTCCTGTTTTTTTATGCTTTAGTAGCATAAGCCAAAATCATCTTATGGACCCGCACATGACTTTGGGTCATGTATTTTAATCCCTGATAATGGAAACAAGCACAGTCTGATGAAAAGTAATTCTGTGTTCATGTAGTTGGACATTAAAGAAGATTCTGTTACATTCAGTTGTCATGAAAGCTTCAAATTTATCTAGTTGCTAAGAAAGCTTATATGTTTGTAATGGCACTTGTACAGTTGATTCTGGCATTGATGGAGGCAGATCAGTACTAAGTATTCATGTCAAGAGAACCAGTGACCTGATAGTTTCTGTGCATCCAGATTATAGCTATAACAAATAACTTCACATTCAGTTTAATTTTAAACTGATAATTTTTTAAAGTTGTTTGTGAGAATACTGTGTGCCTGATGGATGGCATTGGTTTTTAAAATGTTACAGGTTATTGGGGAGAATGGGAAGGACAACTCCGCCTGTTCGTGTATTACCATTATTGAAAGCTTTGAAGGATATGGGAAAAGATGAAAGAAATTATAATACTCATGATGCAGATGACATGCCTTTTATGTCGCTGCACAGTGATCTGTCTCATGATGGAGACGATGGAGCAACACCCAAGAATAATAGCTTTCTATACTATTCAGATAAAAAAAATATGGATTCAGAAAGCCAGCTTTGTTCTAATGCAGGAGTACAACTTAATTGGGAGATGACTGACAGATCAATAATTATGGAAGAAACACAAATCTCTAATCAATTTCAACATTATAATCACCATCAAATGTGGTCTGAAGAATATGAGAATATAGTCCCTGAGTCTCAGGCAGTAGACCAAACTAGTGAGGCATATAAAACATATAAACATATTAATAATCCAGATAAAGGTTCTGTTATTTCTGGGAGGGAAGTTTCTGCACATAGCGAATATCCATGTTCTAACATTGTTTCAACTAATCTACAAGAGGAAAGGATCGTTAACACTTATGATTCTGGGAACAGTCAGGATACACTCTTGGGTCAGAAGGCTAAAACTGTGGAGTTGTTTCAAGAGGAAGTTCATGGCTGTGATAGTAAACCTGATAAGGACTTTCTTCCTTCTCAAAGTAGAGATCCTATATACAGTGAATATCCATGTGCAAGCTCGCTTTCTACAAACAGACAGCAAGAAATTATTTTTAATAATTGTGAATCAAGTAATAATGTGGATATATGTTTGGGTCAAGAGGTTAAGAAAGCGGAGGCATTTCATGAGGAAGTTCATAACTCTTCAGCATTGTGTGTGAAGAAAGAGTATGAGAAAATGCATATGGGACCAACTGTAATGTGCAGTTCTGTAAAGGCAAACAGGGGAATTGTACTTCGTAATATAATAAACCATAAGGACGTTTTAAACACACGGATGAATTCTGTAGATGTAAGAGGAAATTCAAAAATTATACCGGCAAGTGATGAAAATCTAAAACAAATGGATATAAAGTATGTAACCAACAAAGAAAATGAGATAGGTTTGTTTGCATCAAAAACAGATGCATTTAATGTAACCCCTGCAAGAAACAATCCATTGGTCAATAAAAATCCTATATTTGGCTCTAATCCAGTACTTTTAAGTAAAGAAAGAGGTTTTGAGATGTCTGCAAGGAAAGATATTTCAATGCAGAAGCAGTTTGATGACAGAGTAGAAAGTTATACTCCATTTTGTAACGTAAATACTGTGGAAAATACTCCTCTATTGGATAGCATAGAACAAGTAAAAAGAAAGGTTCAGGAGGATGATAGAAATTTTAAATTAAATTGTGTTGGATTCATTACAAACAAACAAAATTTTCAGTTGCCTGCAAGGAAAGATATTACTCCTGAGAATCAAATACTTCACTCAGTGGCTGGTAGAGCACTCAGTAAGATAAATGCTATGGAAAATGCCACTAAACTTGATGTAATACCAGAAGAACAAGCGCATCAAATAGAAGAAGTATGTAGCCACTCAGGCTCTTTAAATAAGTCAAGTTCAAAAACTGTGCAGGAATATTTAACTGAGAGTAAGAAAGAGCTCTCTGTGATATCTGCTCAGGGGAACAATTCTGTAGGAAAATCATTTGCTGCATATGAAGATTCAAAAATGCAGCAGCCTGTGCAGTCTAAGTCTCGCTTTGAGCTTGTATATAAACAAGATCAGAACATGGCTCTTAAATCAGCACAGAGTCAGGATAACTATATAACTGTGAATGGGAAAAGTTACAAAGTTCAGAAAATCCTTGGAAAAGGTGGTTCTAGTCAAGTGTTTGACGTAAGTTGAAATTGAATTATTGATCTTTGTGAAATGTAAATGTATGCTTAATTTTGTTTAAATTTAATATGTTTTTGATATTTTTAATTACAGTAATTAATTGTTGAAGTTCATGCTTTAATATGTAGGATTTGAGGTTTTCACGGCAGTGAGTCTGAAGACAGCCATCTTCATGCTTTAATAGTTGACTTTTTAATGTATTGCTGATCTTTTTGAATTTGTATTTCTCTTTTCTTATAATATTTGATGTTACATTACTTTGGGGTGCAATATTCATTATTTGTTGTAGGATGATTCATACATAAAACAAATAGTCTAATATAAGTTAATAAGAATGTATGTTGCAATGCATGTTATTGTGCCATAAGCCTATCTTTCCATAAAGCACTTCACATGACTGGATCCTTCAGTTGTGTTTATTCATAATGAGATTGAATGTGAATTTATGTTTTGTTGGAGCATGCACATATGGTGTTTTAGGTGCTGGATCCCAACACTAGACAGGAATTGGCTATGAAGTGTGTAAATCTATCAGTAGCTGAGCCTTCAATTGCACAGGGTTATCTCAACGAAATTGCATTGTTGAGAAGATTGCAAGGCAGTGACACGGTAATCTGTATGACTGACTTGTGAGTTGACTGCCTTGTATATATTATTATTTAATACTTTACGCAAAAGAACAATATGTAATTTTTAGCACAGAGAAGTATTTCAAAGAAGGGTCATATAATATTAGTAATGCATGAATGTTTGGAAGGTATAATATTTGCTAGTGCAGATCAGACCTCTGCAACAGATAACATGAAGGAATACATTGACACAATAGTTTAAATTTTAAAAAAAGAATATTTACATTTTTTAAAATGATCATATTTACAAAGAAACCTTGCTTGCTCTCTCTCTCTCTTTCACTTAACTGTGATCATCTAAACTACATGCAAAATATTCATGCTTTAGCTCTCATTAAATCATCAAAAGAATGTCATTTAACATCCTTGTGCAAGTTCAACTTGAAGGTTGCTTTGTGCTCCAAGGTTTAGCTGCACATTTTAATGCCATGAATCTGATTATAACAATTCTTTTGGGTTGACTCATGTTTAAAAAGCAGATCTGAAATACATTTTCCTTGATTTTCATTGTTTTAATAGTGAGTATGAGGAAGAGAAACAGATGCTGTATGTAGTCATGGAGAAGGGGGAAACTGATCTCTCCAGGTTAATCAAGAACATTTCAAAGACCAACCAAATACCTATAATAACAGTTTTATATTACTGGAATGAAATGCTGAGAGCTGTAAAAAATATCCATGCAAATGGTAAGTTTACTTCATTATAGCAATATGTATCAGAACTGTAGCAACAGAGTTACGTGGGCTATGTTTAAAAAGTGCTGTGTTCATACAAGTAACAGTGGCTGGAAGTAACAGTAGTGGTAAGGTGTACTCCAGTTTGTAGAACAGAGCTTGCATGTACAATTTTTAAATTTTGCATTCCATATTGATTAATGTTGTAAAGATACTGATTTTAGTGCATATACAGTGGGGGGGGGGGGAATCTATGTGTATTTGCTATATGCATTGCTTCAGGAGTTTGTTCTACTTCCATTCTTATGTTGTGATTGTTCTGGAACATTTTGAATTTTAGATCTGTACCCTGACCACTTGACTACAGGGGTGGCCAAAGAATAGTTGTTATAACTCTGCTTATGATACTGCTACCTTTTGGGTCCATTCACAAGTGAAAGTTGTTTCACCCAACCAATCTTCAAGTAATAACTGGAGAATGGCTGAACAGATTTCTATGATATTTGATATTCAGATCTTACTACAATTTGTCAACACATTCTGGTTATGGTTAAAAGTGGACAACAACAACAGGCTTTTTACATGTTGGCTAATATGCGTTTATGACAAATGACCTTGACCTTAGTTCCAAGACTATTGATTGTAATCCCAAGGTCATGATCATTGTCCCAATGTCACTAATCCCATGTTCAAGCAAGTTGATCACAGGTGAAAGGTCATTAGTCTTGAGGATACATCCTAAGCCTACAGTTACAATACTTAGGCTATCACTCTCATGCCTAAGGCTGTTGATCCCATGTCGAAGGTGTGGTATGGGTCCAGCTATTTAAAACAGAATTAACATACCAGAATTATTACCCTATACATACATTTTATAACTTGTTTAATGCCCCTTTCTCGTAGTATTGGAAGACATGTGGAACATATGCTTGGTTGGCTGGTTTCCTAGTCTAATAAATTTCTTTGGTTTCTTGGTAATTCTGTTTTCTTCTTTGTAAGTGATACCTGTTTTGTCCCATTGGATTAGTTGTTCATCATTACTGGAGTGTTCTGTTGTTTCAGACTCTATGATCTCACATTTTCATGTTATATTTGTGTTTATTTGGGCTTGGAGTGACCTTTTCTTTGGGTAAGTGGTCTAAAATATCAGCCATTAAGGTTTGTAACTTTTATGTGAACTTTTTTGGCATAGCATGTATTTACCGGTGTACATGATATAATGTTTCTATGGCTGAGCAATATATCAGTTATGTTCATCAGCAGTAGAAGATACAAGCACTATGCAATGTGGTGTCTGTAGTGTTAATACACTTTTGTTAATAGTATAGTTATGAAATGTTGCATTTGAGTGATTAGCACTCCTGTTCTGTGTTTGGGAGGCTCCAGATTCAAATCTCAGCCTGGAGACCAGCTATCCTGACAAAGTTTTTTTGTGGTTTCCCTCAGTCCCTAAAGGCCAAATGCTGGGATAGTACCTCAAATTAGGCTACAACCACTTTCTTCCTTGCCCTTTTCCACTTTGTCATTCATTAATCATAATTTGATGATGTACAGTCTTAACTACTGACATTGTCATTAAATCATACAATAGAGTTGACATGAAATGAATATTTATTAACATCAGTGAGGGACACAAATTTAAAAAAAAAATACTGTTGGAAACATATGTAAACCTTTCCATTAGTCTTTTTTATTTTGCCTATGGTGAACTTCTATGGAGCTCATGCAAATGTTTTCAACCACTCTTACCATTGGATAGCTGTTGTGTATTATCCTCTATAAGGTAGTAGGGTGCTAGGATTCAACACACAATACAGCATAGAATTAATTCCCTGTGTGAATGTCAGTTCATGGTTTGTGTTTCTTACGGTTATGTTTGTGAAATCCAATGGGGAAAAGGTGTTAGACTTTTGTCAAGGGAGTCCTGGATTTAATCTCAAAACAGACTTTGGTATTGATTTTTATGTACACATCTCTTGTAGGAATATGGTTCAAGAGCCCATTTGAAGCTTTATGTCCCATTTTCTAACTGTATCATTGGAGAATGGATTCCTTTATTTCATGACTAAGATCATCAGACCAACTGAAGGCTTTTGCACAATCTGAGGACTTTGGGTTAATTATGTGAATTTAACTACCCAAGAGTGACAAAAGCCATGGATAGTAATGTGCATATGTACGAGGGTGAGTCAAATGAAAACCGTAAAAAAAAAATTTAAATTTAATTTATTGAATGAAAGCGATACACAACTATATCATTTTTCTACATAGTCTCCATTTCGTTCAATACAGGCCCTCCAGCGTTTACAAAGTGTCTGGATTCCTCTAGAAAAAAATTCTTGTGGTTGTTTGCGCAACCACTCATGCACCGCCTGCTGTACCTCTTAATCAGAACAGAACTTCTTTCCTCCCATCGCCTCTTTGAGTGGCCCAAACATGTGGTAATCACTTGGGGCTAGGTCTGGTGAGTATGGCGGATGTGGAAGACACTCAAAGTACAAGTCTTGGATTGTTGCAACTGTTGCACGGGCAGTATGGGGCCGAGGACACCTCTAGCCAAAAGTCCACATCGCTTTGATCTGACTGCAGGTCGAAGATGATTCTTCAAGAGATCTGAATATGAGGCACTGGTGATAGTGTTCCCCCGAGGCGTGTAGTGCTCCGAGAGTACGCCTCGTTCGTCCCAAAAGAGAGTCAGCATAATTTTCCCTGCAGATGGCTGCGTCCGGAACTTCTTGGGTTTTGGTGATGAGGAATGACACCATTCCTTGCTCGTTCCCTTTGTTTCCGGTTGGTGGTAGTGCACCCAAGTTTCATCACCAGTAACGATTCTCGAAAGGAAGCCATCACCTTCTGCTTCAAGGCGCCGCAGAAGTTCTTCACAGGCATCAACACGTTGTTGGTTCAATTCTGGAGTCAGCTGCCGTGGCACCCACCTTGCAGACACTTTGTGAAACTGGAGCACATCATGAATGACATGGTGTGCTGATCCGTGACTCATGTTAAGAATTTCGGCTATTTCATCCACCGACACTCGGCGATTCTCCATCACTAGGGCTTCAACTGCTGCAATAGACTCAGGGGTCACAACTCTGTGCGCCTGACCCGGGCGAGGAGCGTCTGCCACAGACGTCACACCATTTCTGAATTTCCTACTCCACTCGTACACTTGCTGCTGTGACAAGCATGCATCACCATACTGAACCTTCATCCGTCGATGAACTTCAATTGGTTTCACACCTTCACTGATCAAAAAACGAATTACAAAACGTTGTTCTTCTTTCATGCATGTAACTAGTGGAGCAACCATCTTCAAACTGGCACTGTGATGGCATTCTGTTTGTCTGCATTATACTTCCACCTATAGGATACTCTTTATAGCATTGGTAACATGTCTGCCAACTTAGAGGACAATGGCGCGATATTTCGAATTTTTATCTCAGTTTTACGGTTTTCATTTGACTCACCCTCGTAGCATGATATTCACAGACATACGAATGTTTATCATTCCTCTCAGAACGATTGTCATATCACAGTGAAAACTTTAAAGGTGTTATAAATAATTATAAAGCACTTTATCCCATAGGTATAATACACTCCGATTTAAAGCCTGCCAACTTTCTTCTTGTGAGTGGACGCATGAAACTTATTGATTTTGGCATCGCATCATCAGTTCAGAGTGACATGACAAGTGTTATCAAGGATGCACAAGCCGGAACCTTCAATTACATGAGCCCAGAAGCAATTCAGGCTACGCACAGTACAAATGGGAACCAGTCTGGATTTAAGGTGACTACACATAAAGCATCACTTATTTAGACAGACTTACATTTCTTTACTAATACCAAGGTATGTTTCTCAAGAAAATCTTATATATGATTCAAGTTTTATTAAAATATACTAGCATGGTAAATGGGCCTTCATAGCTGACACTGGCATTTTGGGTATGAATACTTCCTCATCTTTCTGTGTTGTGCTGTCCTCTGGCTTTGCAATGGGCTGATTACTCATCCAAGGCATCCTACCATATGTCTAAAAAGCTAAAGAAAGTTCATGTGTGTGTTAAATACTTCTGGTTATGGTATTAATGACTTTCCATCCATTTTTCTGAAGTGGAAATATGTGTTAGTGATACGATTACATCAAGAATACAGCTGAATGGTAATAGGAACTGGGTATGCTTTACTTTCAACAGAAGTGAGTCAGAAATGTGTACAGACATTGATGGGATTGAGTCCAAGATATAAGCAAAAGTTTGGTATATTATTATATTCCCACTTTATACAAACTGGTATGCATAATGGGAATGGTAGTTTTGCATTCATTCATAATCTTGGGGCTTGGCATACTGCAGATTGTTGTATGAAGCATGTTCAGTGATGATGGTGTAGTAAAGGTTTCACAAAGATTACATTATACTATTAAAAGTCAACTGTAACTTTGCAGTAGTGATCCAAACTTTGGTTAATTTTAATCAGCAGATTGTGATGCAATGCTTTGAGGTTTACAGAGATTATACATTCATTTTTATTTGCATGTTCAGAATATAGTGATTGGACAACATTAGATGAGTTGTGTATCTCCAGTTGAATCTGCAACTGCATCCAGTTAATTCCAATTATATATTCAGAATATAATGTGTCATTTGATTTTTAAACTGCAGTTATTGATTTGTTAATATATGATAGAAAGGAAGTAATTATCAATGAGATGTGTCCATTAATATCAGAATGAACCATATCTTTACATCACTAAACACTGTTATTACAGTTAATGACCAAACTGCTGAAAGCACATATCATACATGGAATAGTTGCTTATGTTTATCCTTTTAATCCAGTTATGTATTTTTGTCATTTGATTTCAGATCAGTTACAAATCAGACATCTGGTCCTTAGGTTGCATTCTGTACAATCTACTGTATGGAAAAACGCCATTTCAACATATTGTCCAGCCATGGGCCAAAGCTGCTGCCATTACAAACCCAAGTCATACTGTCGAGTATCCCAATACTCGCAATGATTGTCCGCCATTATTACTCGAAATTGTGCAACTGTGCTTGAGTTATGACCCAAAGAAGAGACCCACCGCAGCACAACTACTGGAATTGCCTTATGTTAACTATGCTCATATAAAAATTTTATAAATATATTTGCACTAAAAAAAAGCTCCCTTGTAATTGGTAAACACATTAATAATTTAGAATTAAATCATTTGGAAAGCTTGGCATTTGGTATGGTAATGCTTATTGTTTGACCACCACATGGTCAAGTGATCTGAATAGTTCAGGTTCAGTGTGCACAAGATTATAGCTTATGCATGCATAAGTGGGAATTTTGTGATTGATTGAAAGCCAGTATTAGCTTTTCATCCCTCAGCATTGCTTTTGTCAGAAATGTGTTGTTTTATTTAGGCATCTTTCTACGTGGCAAAATGAGATTTTATGTAAGATACACAGGTAAAGAATTCTTAATGGTATTTATGTGCATGTTTATGATGTAATAAATAAAAGTTTGTATCTATATATAAAACTGTATAAGCATTTTCCACTGATGGAAAATTGAAAGGGAACAAAAGCATGTTGAACTATACAGTCACTAAGTTAAAAGCTAATATCACCCTGATGTCAATCAAAATAAAGTTCTGCAATCAGGTTTACAGAAACTACAAAATTACACTGTAATGTTAACCTTGCATTTATATTTCTCATTGTGAAAGACTAGAGTTTATTTGTTTATAGACCAGCTGTTGTAGCAACACATTTTCAAGTGTTGACAATTATAGCAACTAGTTCAGCGACATTGAAATAACACTATTCTAGAAGCATGTAGTAGCTCATGACAAGCAGACATTTACTGTATTTATGTATTACTTGACAATATTGTATGTGTAATTAGTATTTAACACCAAAAGCAACTTAGGTTACAAAGAATTAGAAGAGTCTTTTATAAGCGGAAATCTAGTAAATGTCCATATAAATCAGTTCACTGGAATCATGTCTAGGTTCTGTAATCTGAAACCAGAACACTCACTTGTTTTACATTCCCAACACTACTGAATATATTATGAGTCTCCCCCCATGTGCCTACATGGCATATAGTGGGACAACATTTTTTTTACTTTACATCCCATATGAATTTATTTTAACATTCCAGCATGGTTTTACAGAATTAGGTCACCTACTGCACCTGACAGTTATATTTTAATGGAAATAACTGATCACATTTATACACATACTATGAAAGTTTTTAACATTGTGCCACTGATACAACTCATATAAATGTGATTTGAGATCGCTTCAGAAAGCCTTTAGTGCATTTGCAACTGTGGAATATCAGTTGGAAAATCCATAACTTACATCAGCTCCCTTTATTAATATTCTTTGCTCAGAGGAAAATTAAGTACTCTCACCCATCCTAATATATTCTTAGTGGGTAATCCTGGTCAAAATCTATCAGCAGTAGCTGGCTTTATTGCTGCAGGTAGATTCCAGTTTCACTGGATTGTATGTAGTGAAATCTTTGTGTATTCATTGAGATATCACTTAGGTGCTGGTACTGATCCATATTGATGTTCAGTGGCTAGGCCTAATCCTCCATCTGCATATTGTGGTCATGCTTGAAACCCAACTCGGTACTTTGTTCTGTCAATATTGATTTTGTCACAGATTGATAGCAGAGAAGTTTCTAACAGTACAGGTATGGGATGATTGTCCAACTGGACATACTCTAGGAAATGCTTCTGCAAGTGTTTCCAGACCTCTATGTGCCTTTATTGTTAATACCCAGGCGTATAAATGCTGGTACATTTCCAAAGTGGAAAAGGACAATGAAATGAAGTTTGCAAAATTTTGTTCAGCATGAGATGATATTGTACTGATGCATAATCAGTGCAGTGTAACTCTCAAATGTGACATAAGGTAATTCGTCCAATATTTGGCACTAAGCCCTAAGGATTAAAGCCATCAAATGGTTAATACATTGGGCCATTCTTTACAGGTGTAGGCTTGGTTGCCATTGTGGGTTCAAGGACAACACTCAAAACATATTTGGTAAAGGCATGGTTACAGCGGATGTATGGCGGGAGGGGGGTTAATTCATCTAATATTCCTGTGCTAAACTGCTCATATTACCTTTATGCACGGTGATCGTATTACCAGGAACGATATTTTTTTAAATGTGGCACTGCTAGTTTAAGTGACAAGTTGAATCAACCACGCATTGCAAGCCAAAGGTATATTCATGGCATATACTAGCTTTGTATCGAGCGTTAATTTGTCAATACAGTTAGCGTAAGTTCTTTGTTCTGCAAATTAAATATACGAGTTAAGAAAAAATAAAATTCGCATTTAATGAACACGCTACAATCCATATTTCTGAGAGGAAAAAGAAGCCTCGATCTACCGCAAAAGGGAAACACTTCATCCAAGCCGCCATAGTTGTGTGTAGTCGTATATTATATTGTCGAGAACGAAGCACGATGTGGTCCAGTGTTCATATAATGAAGTCATGTCTCAGCAGCTGGAACATTAATGATACAAAAGTCAGATGCATATAGCCGCTTTAACCGGATTGTTACACAGATGTTTGTGTTCTGTGTTACATAGGTCAACTGTCACATGATGTGGTAGTACGCATGGAGTGGCGTTTTATATGACGAATTAAGGCAAGTTTACCATTATTTCATGATTTCTATGCTATAATATCTAACGTATAATAAGACGAACTATGTATTTTAATTTATTGTCTATGCTAAGTGGTCGTATATCCTTCATGAACAAGATATCTTGAGGCTTTTAAAATCAAGTAAAATCTGATATATCTTTTAGATAAGACTTAAGACTTGGAATAATTGTTAAGTGGTGTTGTGACTTTTAAGTGTGTCATTATAGTTCACTAAGCGGCTGCATAAAATACATTACAATGGTTTGTGTTGGGGTTGGTGACCTTAAGTAGAAACCCAAATTCGGCGAGGTTAAGGGAACAAGGTAGGAATATCTTCTTGAGTCCAGTTACCCTAAGCAAACCTCAAATTCTGTTTCACGTGTATGTGTCACCGGGTTGTAAAGTTGTTCCAATATTTGTACTTCTTTTTCTCTTATTATTTTTTCAGTTATAGCAGATGTGAATGTGCTAATTTTGATGGCTGGAGTAATTTTTGTGTGTTCTTCATAACATTAAATGATAGTAGATCATTTTAGGTGTTCTTTATGCAATAGTGCAAGCAAAGTATGCCTTATTGGCATATCCTGTTTGCTGCATCTTTCAGTCAAATATATCATTCTTTCAAACATAGATTAATACCAGCACCATTTGTCAGTGATCACAGCTTTATTCTGCCTTCTATCACTGTTCTTATGATCTGTTTGGTTTCAATTTGCTGTCTTCCAGAATGTTACACTGTGTATAGTCTGGCAGAAATGTATTGATGTTTCAGAGGTTTTTGTCCTGCTGGGTGATGACATCATCACAGAGGATTCAGTTTTATTTTATCAGTCGCATTGGTTGGAATAAAACTTGGGACCATTTACAAGGGTCAAATTCTGGACCAGTCGGAAAAATCTAAAATAAAATTCTGATTGCAGTCATTTGTGAGTATGTGGGGACAGAGGTGGCCAAGACCCTGACCCATAGCACAGGTGGTTAGTTGCTGGCTTATCACTGTGGAGGCTTGGGCTTATGCCCAGGGCACTCCAGTAGGGTTTGTGATGGCATTCAGATAGGCTTTTTTCCAAGTCCTGTTTTCCACTGTCATCATCTTTCCATCTCTGCTCCATATCCATGTATCATCTTGGGGTTGAACAATGGACCTGTTGGGAGGCACAGTTTCATAGAGATGTAGTTTCACCCCATTGTAAAAATCAAAAAAGAGACCATGATTGCTAGACCTGTTATAATACTAACAAAACGGGACTTGGCTCACCTATTGTCATTTTTACATTTAAAAAAGCAGTTTGATAGATCTCTGCACTTTCATATATAATAAACTATATGGCTGTGAGCATTTATGCTTTTTTTTTCCTTCCCGCCCAGATGCATATGAATTACTGGTTTGGAACTACTGTTGGTGATTTGCTGTTCGAGGGATTCACCATTACCTCACCATCAGGTAGAGAGTAGTTTATTTGCCAGTGTCAGTTTAGTTTGTCTGAAAGTGGTCTCCACACACAAAAAGCAGTTTGTGTATCAACTATATCAGAAGTTGCCAGTAGAATGGTGACATGACAGCCAAGAAGGCATGGTCCTCCAGTTTGAGATTTAATATAGGTAACAACCTTCACCATAAAAACAGTTCTGCAGGTGTGTTGCACAACTTGTAATAAAGATAGATTCTTTTGAACAGTTCATATGACATTCAAAGAACATGACAACTTGTATTTTGAATATTGTTAGTGTAAGACAGGTGCTTGGGAGTCAGCAGTTATGTTGGTAACAAAGCTGTAATTGGATATAGTATAGCTAGAACAGTTTGGATTTTCTGAGGAGGGAATTCATGAAAACAGAAATTTGAAGTTCATTAATTGTAGTCTTTTGGATTTTAATATTATTTAGGAGGAATGTATCTTCTGCTGTTAAGATGGAGGATATATGTTCCTTCGAAACTTTGATAACCATGTAGAGGACTACTTGACATCACAACCCAGAAGATTACAGAAGGTTGTGTTGACATCATTCACATAGATAAATTGTGTACAGATAGAAAGTTATTCATTATAGAAGCATTTAATGTCACAAAACTATCATATATATATAATATGTTGCTTTTTGCAGCTGTTGTAATGACATGCTTTGGATTAGCATCTCTTTCAATACTGTCTGAAGCTATCAAGGTGTACCAAGCATATATTAAACACAGTACTGAGCTGGGAGATGATCATTGTCGCTCTGACAGATGTACAAATGAGAGATCTTTGCTCCTGGGTAATGATAGGAGCAGTAATGTATCATATTCACACCACAAGTATGCATCACTTTGATACATAGATTTAATTAGAGCAGTGTTTCCCAAAGTGTACCACCAGTAGTATACAGAAGGATTTTAAGGGACATGCGAAAGAAAAGAAATTAATAGAAATTGTTCCAGAGTTTTGTATTTTTGTACCTAAAGGTTTATCATACTGTAGTTTGACTGCTTGCGAGTTAACTGTTTCTGATGTGATTGGAAGAGGGGGATATGCCAATAAGGCTCAGATTCTGAAAGGAGTACAGAAATTTTTAAAGTTTGGGAAACACTGAATTAGAGAATAGTTTTGAAGTTAAGTAAAAATTTGGAAGTTCTACATATGTGTCCTGTTCATTGATTGAAAAAAGTAACAGACAAAATGAGAGTAACTGAGTTGATAGGGTGTTAAAAATTGATATAATGAAGAGAAGGAATAATTTTGCTAATTGTACTGAAGTTCAGCAGTACATGTAATTTTAAAGGATTTTGACAATAGCCTGCTATCAACCTGTAAGGATATTGACCGCCACACAGTAACAAATCATCTGTGATGTTTGTGTGTTGCAATGAAAAAAGATTTTGGACAAAACACTCATTTTGTGTGGTAGTTTCATCTCCTTTTGCAGTTGAGCAATAGAATCGTTTTCATTGGCTGTTAAGCACTGAGTAACAAGGAACTGAATGACATTGAAGGAAAGTTATATATTTTACATTTATTGTTTGGTGTCTGCAATTGTTTTGATTTTTTTTAATGTGCTACTGATGATTTACCAGTCTCTAAAGCTCAAATTATCATACATGTTTGTGTTTCTACGTTTGTTTCCAACTTCTGTTGTACTTCTTTGTATGGTAATTCTAAAGTTCTGAATTTTTATGTTTTTAATCCAAAATGGTAGATTTACAAGCCAAATAATAACAAAATTGGATGGGTGTAATCCATATCAGAATACAACTTTTTATTTTGAATGGTCCAGGCTGAAATACAAAACGATAGCAAATTACATATACTATTGAAGTGTTACTGTAAGTAGCATCCACATAAATGTAATAGTAGATCATATTCATGAACTCATACCTATTTATATTTTTATTCACAAAAGAAACTTATGTGATCAGTAACTATTTCCAGAACCTTATATTAATTGGTGTTGTCACATCACAAATTTTTGTGTCTATCCTGTTGGTATTACCGATTGTAAGAAATTAAAAAATGTGAGATTTGGGTACCCTCCATTCACATAACATATGTACCAAATTAAATCAAAATTTGTGCTTCAGTTCTTGAGTTGTAACATGTAAGCAGATACAGTCAACCATATGTGTGTTAAATTTGTGTTTGTTGTGTTTGTGCAAACAATGCTCAATAACTGTGTGACATCATGTAACTTTTCTGAAATGCCAATAGATAACTTTCTGTCCATACATGTTTCAGGTCATGTTTAATAATGTCCTAGTTTCCCCTTTAGAATCAAATTATCCTTCATAGTGCTTGTAACCATTGTTTAAGGATGCAATTAATCTGCTAATTAACCAAGAAATTTCTTTTTGCATACAGTTATTTGTATGTATTTTAAAAGTCATCAACTTTTTGTGTTATAACGTCAGGTATATCAGTGAGATTTCAGGTTTGTGTGGCAACTAGTTTCAAGATGGTTGTCTTATGTGATGCTGCACTGTATAGCACCTGTCTATATGGTACAACATACCAGGCGACAGCCATCTTCAGACATCCTTTGATATTTCATAATACCTAGAAACATAATTTGGGCAATAAAGCAGAAAATGTCTTATTAATCACATGAAATACACTACTTCAAAGTTTTCTAGAAAGATCAATACTAGACATAATGTTTTTATGCTGTGTATAAGCTCTGCTTTAGAGACAATGCAGTGTGTTATTTGTAACAGGATTTTTATGTATATGAAATAAACATTAAGACAATTGAGGTGTGTAAAATTATATGGATTATATTTTGAAAATACGTATACTTCAATCTAGAGTATACCACTGTTGTTTTCCACAGACCTTCCAATTGCAAGTCATAGGCATTACCTCACAGCAAACATTGTGCTTCGGAGGCAAATGGATCTGCTGTCGTACAGCTCTCCATGTCTGTTCTCCTGCAAATTATCACATAAAATGTTATTAGGTTAGGCAAGTTGATACACAATATTTTGCACTGTTTTCAGGCTGCTTCCTCTCTTGCGGGAGACTGGATGGTATATAGTACAGGATGTGCTGTCTTACATTCTTATGTTGTGTGTTATGACATACAATGGGTATTTCACAATAGCAGTGTCTGTTGGTGCTGGAGTTGGCTATTTGGTGTTTGGTCCAGTCTTGCTTGAAATTGGTGTAAAAAGTGGTGGGTTACGCCGGCCAAAAAGATTGTGCACAGCATGTATAGGTAAGTTTGAATGTTACAAAATTTCATGACATTCATTATGGTCCTTGTAGATCTCAGATAAAACAGTTCAACAGTTTTGTATTGAGGTTGTACTGTATAGTTTTAAAGAAACATATATCCTAATATAATAAAAACTGTAATTGAATTTAAATAACTGTGAATGTTAAAATATATTTAGGGCATAAATTATTTTCGAAAAAGAAAACGGTTTCTGATGAATGAAGATATTCCCCCCACCCCCCATGGTCAATGCAACTGATCACTACATTTTGTATTTATTTTACAATCTGAACTTTTAGAAGTGTTGCAAAATGAAGAAGATACGCGACAAGATGATGTCACATTACCCACTGTTGCACAGCAAGATTCATTAGTACACCAAAGTGATCAGGGTCACTGTCAGGAATCTGTTGCCGTGGTACATAGAGCTGACAACTAAGGCCGAGCTGTCTACATTTTCTACCAAGTCATGTTAGCAATTTATGTTACAAAGTACTAAGAATAGGTAATGAATATATTATCTAATTTTATAAATAAAAAGTTTGACATGCAGGCTGCTGTCTTACCTACCATGGTATTTGTGACTCAGCAATAAGAGACATTTTAGATTAGGGAGAGCAGAGATTGGCTTTTTAAGAATGATACACAAAACTTTATACAGTATATTAGGTTTTTAGTGAATAGATGGCTGTAGTTTACATAACCAATATAGCTCTTATAAAGAGAAACAAGTTATGAAATGTGAACATAGCATAGCGATTCTGGTGCATTTACCAGAATTTTGCCTATACAAATGGCAGAATGTATGGGGCCAGTGATGTTTTTATGGGTCGCCCCACCCATGGGTAATGACATCATCACAGATCTTTTAAATGCCACACAGAAAATAAGAAAGATACTTCTCCAGTATAGCTTAGGATATTATTATATTACCCTCATCAAACTGCTGTAGTTAATCTGCATATCCAATAATTTGCTGTTGTTGGCTGATAATCATGTGTGCTGTAATAAAATAAAGCAAAATAAAGCTGTGTGCACTCAGTTTTTGTGATGGTTTAACATTTTGTTTACAGGTTTAAAAAATATTATAAATATTAAAATTAAATTATTTGGTTATTCTGTCAAATCACAATGTATTTAAAATAAGATAATTAAAATAATTAAAATATCATTCATTGTTCCATATCGAAGAATGATATTTTAATTATCTTATTTTAAATACATTGTGATTTGACGGAATAACCAAATAATTTAATTTTAATTCAATAAATCACAATATGACGCAACTACACTATTTTATTATAAATATGTTAATTTCAGTGAATTTGAGTGTAAACCAAATGGTTTAGATATCAATATATGATACTAACAATATATGTCATAGAAACTCGTAAGACCAAAGAGCTTGTTTTTTTAAAAAGTTTAAGGTTTGTTTTGATGATATTTCACTCTAGTTGTGAAAGTTATGCTTTTCTCAAATGTTAATATTGTTGTTACTCTGAAAATAATTGTATTTCAACAAAATGCTGATATTTTACTCTTTGTTTTAATGAGATTTTACCCTTAGTTGTGAAACTTCTGTTTTCAAATGTTAATGTTTGTTGTGGAAATAAATTGTATTTCATTAAAAATCTATAATTTCATTTAATGTATTTTTCAAACTCTATGGTGCTGTGTTCCCATAGAAGTGAGTTGGTCCACATCTTGTTGAGGATATACAAAAGATATTAAGTTACCCTTCTGATAATATGCACTGGTCAAGAAAATGCCTTTTGTTGTGTAAGAGGGTCGTAAATATGATAATTGTGTGTACTGTACAGATGCCTGTCAGTATGGTTTTGTCTTGTATGCTGAAGTAACTGGAATTCAATATTTTATGCAAATATAAGAGGTGAACAAAATTTATGAGATTGAATACAAATAATGAAACATATTTTTCATTTGACTTTTTCCAAATTCAGCTGCCCTCAATACTTAGGATATTGTTTGCACTGATTAAATAAATTTCCCTAAGGAGATTTAGTGTTTATATTTATGATGTTTAAGAAGTAAAGACATCATCCTTCATCTATTGGATACAAGATGGGTTAAACTGGTTCATATATTCATTGCATTCACTGATAAAGTTGAATGCAATTGTCACATCCTGGCCACCAGCAGGAGCTGCAATAAAATGGTAAGTTAATTTTACTGGTTTTATAGGGTGATATTTAAGTGTTCCGGAAAGAATTCGTAGCACTTGGCAGTGAGCCGTTTAAGCCTGAAAGTGACGGCTGCATTCAACCTTATCAGTGAATTCATTGTATTACAAATCATGTACAAGCTTCATGCATTTTTATCAAAAATAGAGTAAGTATTACAGAATAAGTGTTACATCGTTCTTCAATGCTTTATGGCAGCGTTTAAAACGTATGGTACGTGAGCCAATGTTGGTGGTACGCGAATTAAGTAAGAAAATGAAAACATAATGTTAACATAAATAAGTTTACCCTCAATGTGCTTGTCTAGTGGTACATTTAGCGTGTTAAATTAGAATTAATGGTACGCCAGCGAGAAAGGGTGAGAACTCCTGCTTTATGGAATTTGCGGGACAGGAAATTGTGGTGATCGAATCACAGTTAACCTAATTGCCAATTAAGCTGCCGCAATCGATTAGAATACTAGGTGTCTCCCCAAATTAGAAGATGGCAGCACACTTGTTACCAGTTGGGTAATTTATCTACGCATAGTTGCTTATCTGCGTAGTCAAACTACAGGTTGGTCTGAGGAAATAATTTACGGTATTCATGATCCGTAGGTAGTTACGAAGGTGTTCTGTGGATGTTTGTCTGTGATTTAGACTGTCATATGTGGTCAGTTTCTCAAGTGTACACGTGGATTGAAGTTGTTGGAAGGTGAACAGATGGAAACAGTTGGGTATATGTGTATTTGTTAGTACGAATATATATTTGCTTGACAAAAGAATGTGTTTAAGGTGTTGGACGTTGAAAGGTGCGATTAGTTTTATTGGTCTTTAAAATACTCAGTTTTTTTAAATGTCAATCAGGTCAGATGTGTCAAATGTAACACCACAGAGGTTACATTTTGCAAAACTTGTTCGATTTGATTTGTATTATTAAAATGTTTTAGTAATTTGATTGCACACGAATTTGTATTCAGTAATTTCCCAGAAAAACATAACATAGGAGGGCTTGGCAGTGTTGATATTGCTTTTAAATATTCACTGAGTGTCTTGAATTCAGGTTCCATTTTAAGTTTTACCAGACATGGATTTTTGTTCCATGGGCGTTATTAAGAACAGTGAAGGTATTGCTCAAGGTTGAAGTTTAATCTGTTACCTAGTTGATTTAGCTTATCACAAGCTCATTGATTTGAGATTTTCACAGGGAAGAAATTTGGAAAATGTCTTCTCCAAAGTAGGATATATCTCTTTCCACTGTTGTTTATTTATTTCAAATTTAGTGTCTTGCATATTCTTTCTTACAGGGTTTTGGAAATGATACATGGATAGTTTGAAACAATGCTAGGAGAAGAAATATAACATTAATAATAATACATTGTGGGAATTTTATTGTATTTAATCGTTCAATTTTTGTTTACAGGAACCATTGTAACTTCAATGATGAATGTTTTTAGTGTCTCAGTTCTGCTGTTAGTGATAGTTGCTGTGAATGGACAACAAAGAGTTGCACCTGGTGTTCCTCCACAACAGTATACGGGACAGGTAAGTTGTTGGTTGTTCAAGCCATTTTCACTGAGATTGTTCTTGATTTGTTTGTACTTGCTGTGAAGTCTCATATTTAGGATACTGGTATTTGTCAATCATAGGTTAGAGTGGGAAACTCTTTGCTGAATGTTATGAATATATTGTAGAGAGGTGTTTAGATTTTTGTGATACTACTATAAGGAATTTTTGCATGAAGAAACTGCCCTATTGATCCAATCTGAGATGGCCTAGAAATGTGTTTGTTTTCTTTTTGGCATGAAAATGGCTGATTATATTTAGAATATTCTTTAAAGGATGGATGAAATTTAGCATTTTTGTGGCTAGAGAGAAGGTTAAATTATATTAATAAAAAAATTATTTTAGACTCAGGGTCAGCCTCAAGGAGTACAACAGCATCAAGTCCCAGTCCAACATCAAGTCCCAGTCCAGCATCAAGTCCCAATCCAGCATCAACAAGCTCAGCAGGTAGAATGGAAACAGATTCTTCTCATTTGTTGTCTTTCAGTCAGCCCTACTATAATATGGGTTCACTAATTGAAGTGGGCTATTCTTTGACAAACCAAGTATACAATCGACTTTTCAAAGAATTTCCTGCGCCATAGAGTGAGTGAATATTCATGCCTCCCCCAGTTTTATTTTTAACACTGTGTAGTAAGTGATCATGTGGGATCATTGGATATTTGGTTCTGCACAGTTTAGTCAAGAACACATGAGACACAGCATCTCAAACATATATTATTTCTTATTGTTATGGTGATATAAATACTGTGTATACATTATGCTAGTTCTCATTTTTTGAAGTGTGTCTTCAACCTTAGACAGCAGGCTTACAAGTTAAAGTATTTTAACACTGATTGTTTAAATTCATTGGTGCAATTTACAGGCTTTGTCTGCTTGTGGGAACAAATCCTGAATTTATACCACTGGTTTGATGTTTTAGTGATTATTAACAGCAGTGAAGTCTTACACAGTAATACTTTTGCTAAATTTATCAGCAACACTACCTGGACTTCTTACAGTTGTGTCGTCGTCTTCTTTCTTTCTTTCTTTTTTCTTCTCTCTCTCTCTCTTTTTAATGTACTGATCAGCCTGTTCAAGTATTTACATAAAATGGTATTAACTTCTTTATGTTAGATTCTGTATTGTACAGCATATAGTTGAATACCGTTTTTATATTGTTTTGTGGATATAAGAGGCACTGTTTGACATTCTTTTACAGCAGATTCCAGTTCAACAGCAACAACAAATTCCTGTGCAACAAGTTCATCATGGACACCAACTACCACAGCAAGGACAGATTCTCAACGCAGCCAATATCGCACATGAAAAACAGTAAGTTGATATGAACAGGACAAAGTTATTTCACTTTTCCATGTAAAAATATTAACTCTTTTTTAAGTGGAAGCTTATCCAATAATACTTTAAGAATTCAGTTTGTATGTCAAAGAAAACCTAACACTTCATTACAAAAATAAATTGTTTAATACTGTTTGAGGAAATAACTACTGTTCATTCTGATAATTATATGAAACCCACAAATACAAAATAATGATTGTTAAAGTAGATTGGACATGTAGTTACCAATGGACTTTAAAGAGTTGAAATGTCATCTTCATTAGTAGTAGTCTTTGACAAAAAGTTAAAAGGGTAGTAATTTTACTTATATGTCCATCATCTTTGAGAGCTGCCACATTGCATTCTCATATTTTTTTAATTTTTTTTCTGATTTATTGTTTTTATACCTGATAGCCATTGTGTCATGTTTTTGTCTGAAGAAGAAGGAGAATGAGAATAAAGGAAATTGGAAGTTTTGTCTTGCTGTAACTTATTCTGTAATTTTGATCATCATACTTTTTGATTAGTTCTGCTAACCTACACACACTTTAATTTTTGTCTCTCTTGGTTTAGAGGGGAAAGTTCTTATGGGGCACCATGTAATTATTTTACAAATTAAAAAAAGTTTATAAGACAGGTAAATAAAAAGTAGCATATTTGTCTCTCTGACTTTTCTGTCCATCTTATATTCTAGAAGAAAACATTTTCTCATGTGTTTTAAGCACTGTGGAAGTAAACTGGATGTCACCAATTTATTCACTTTGGCAGATACTGGTTAAGCAGACATATTTATACTTTGTTATTTTAAATTTCAGGGATAAGAAATGTTGATTAATGTGAAAAGAAAACCTTCAAATGAATTCTGCTTCTGTTTTTCAAAAGACTAATTAGTGGTCCTATACATGTCCTGTAACGTGTACAGAACATGATTGTAAATGGATACTTCATGTTTTCAGGCACATCCAGGAGCACATGGAAGTTCCTATTGATACAAGCAAGATGTCAGAGCAAGAACTCCAGTTCCATTACTTTAAAATGCATGATGCTGACAATAATAACAAGCTGGATGGCTGTGAACTCATTAAATCATTGATACATTGGCATGGTAAATATGTTGACCAATACTCACGGTATAGCGTGTTTAAGCCTGGGTGACTGGATGTTTCGATAATAGTTATTTGGGCTATGATAACTGTGTTGTTTATTTGACAACTTTTGCAAATGGGTGACTTGGGTTAAATTGGTGTAGCTTTGAGCAGCAAATTCTGGCAAATACGTTCTGTGTTTGTTTATAAATGGTTAATATGCTTTGTTGCACTTTGTTACTGGTTGTAGACAGTCACACTCATTCTGTTATCATTAAGACATACAGTAAAATTCAGTCAGGAAGGAAATTGTTGCGTAATAAGAAAATAATGGGCTATAAGCAAAAGTATTTCCCAAGCAGAAAGATGTGATGAAAACGTTTTTTGGTTTTAATTTTTCTCTATACTTTATGCATTTTGTAGTTAGTCCATTATGTTTCCTTAAAAATAGTTTTCTTCTGACATGATGTAGCAAATCCAACCCTTTTCCTATTGTTGGAAACATTATCTATGACAGTCGTATGTTTTGAACTTTGTGATATTTCTTTCGTTATGATGATGTGATCATATCCCTTCTCCTTGATTACTAGCTTTTGTTTTATGAAACAGAACAGTTACTTGATCTGTAGAGAATGGAGGGTTGCAAACAGTAATCATGTGATTTGTGACCAAAACGTTGCAGAAAGCAGAGTGAGCAGGCATATTATGACCTCAAGTACAGTATTACTCAGGACATTCTTACCACACTTCTGAATTGTAATGTTTAATTTCTGATGTACAGTCCCATTATTGCTGAAAAAACACAATTAAGAGGCTTCAGCATTTTCAGCAGACTGTACTTCTCTTCAACTTTGAAAATAACTCAGATTTTCAGTGCTGTTCATTATTTCCTCTCAAAAGAAAGTTTTATCTTGTCATAGGTTTCTGTAGCAGCTTTATCTAGTTAAAAAAGGACTTCTTACACACATGCTGTTTTTCAATGAACCCTGTCATCTGATTATAATTTTCAAATTGTTTGCAAGAGTGTTTATTTCAATGTGAGAGTAGAGAGTAGGAACATTATAAAAATTAATCATTTTTATTTCTAGGAAATTTAATTGTAAAAAAAGCAGCAAAGTTTGTTGACGTATTGATTACTTATTATTAGGTTAGCAGCTGAACTTGCATACAATGCAATTCAAGTTTGTTTGCTGAGAAATGTTGCTATGGAATCTAATCATACATAGGCCAGACATTTTACAGCAATTTAATTTATAAATATTGACAATTGTTTATGCATGGAGTGCATATTTAATTCTGAAACTCCATTATCTCTACCATATTCCCTTGTGATAATTATGTTCCTTCCCAAGAGAGCTAAAAATCTGTAGTGTATCCAGTAGGTTAAGCATGTCAGTTTTAATGTGCAGAGTGTGGGATGTGTTTGTAATGTTTGTTGTTCTGTTGTTGCTTTGTGTGTTGGCTTTGCACACCTTTACCCTCTTCAGAACAGGGTCACCATGATGCTAATAACCCTGCACCAACTGGAGAGAAAATCTTCAAGGATGATGAACTGGTGCAACTTATTGACCCTATTCTCAACATGGATGATGGAAACAAGGATGGCTTCATTGATTACCCTGAATTTGTGCAGGCTCAACAGAAAGCCGGAGGAGGCGGACGACGAACGTCGTGAAAACACTTTGCAGATAGTAATGTGGTATAAATTGGCCATGATGCCTGTGTTTTGGATTCTTCTATACCCACATTTTAGGTTAATCAGAATTTTGGAAGACATGAGTCCTTCTGCAACCAAAAGTATGGTTCAGTAATGAATGTTACATATAATAAAACTTTTAGAATATTGAACTAAAAGGACATGTTTATTTGCTGTGCAAATGATATTTTGGCAATAGTAACCTATAATAATTCATGTATCCGTCCAGATAGCCTTTCTAAGGCACTACCAGATAAAATTAAGGTTTTAAACTCCATACACTAAAATCTTAAATTCGTGCCCAGAAAAGTTGAAAACTAGTAAAATGCCTTTGGTTGAAATCTCTTAGCATTTTTCTTTGTAGTTCGGTTTTCCTGAATGGTATGCAAAAAAATGGAAAATGAACAAAAATAGTTTTCATCAGCCTATTTTGGAAAGGTATGTTAATTGTTGAATCTCCAGTTATGTTGACAGGGTGTTTAAAAATATTCACAAGAAACATCCTCTAAATTGGGTATGAGGTACAATTACTATAAATGTTTAAATTCTGCTGTTGTGTCTCTCAAAAAAAGAGTAGGAGTTTTCAAAATGTTTGACATTGTGATTATAAGAAATCGATAGATTCATGTTTCATGTTTGTTTCACTCTGGGGAAGAAAATGTTGGTATAGAGTAACCAAAAGTGTCAGAAATCTGAAACATTAGAACAGTGGCATTTTGTATTGATGGGAATGACAGTAAATATGTTCTTTTAAATCACTTTCTTCTGAGCACATATTTTTACAAGTAAATAAGTATATTTGGTTTTAGAAAGGTATTATCTTCTGCCAGATCCAGGAGCTTTCCTTTAGTGGATAACAGTAGACAATAACATATACACTCAAAAAGCCCATTAGTAATTACAGCATGAGCAAGTTTGGCACTCTGAATGTCAGGACTGGCAGAGCTCCACTGCATGCTGTTTTATGAAGCTTAAGTTTTCACGTAGTTCTCTTGTGGAAGCAGCTTGTTTGATTTCATTCTGCATCAGAGAACATTAATATTGCATGCAAACTATGACATGAGTGTTATCTTTTAAATATGTGTTGTAAGAAAGCAATTTTATTGAAATTAAGATCTTCTGTATCTGAATGCTTCCCGTAAATAAAATTGTCTCTCTAAGGCTCTAAGTATCAATAACGAAAACAAGGCCTTAACTTTTTTATAAATTATAATGTATTTATGTTACTTTAACATGTTACCTATATGTGATAAATATGTTACGTTCATAGCACAAAATCAAGCCAGTGTTTGTGATGACCATTATCAGTATCAGCTACATATATTGGCTGATGCTCTAAATAAATATTGTTATTTAGAATTCTGGACTATGGCTGACCATTATTGATAATGTATAATATCTTGGCCAGTATATATGGATTATAATATAGTACTAATTGAATTAAGTTTTAGAATTCATAATATTTCTTCAAAAAAATAAAGTGAAATTAAAGGAATATATCTTTCATAACAAAGAGGAAACAGTTAGTGTCGCTACTGTACTTTTCATAGACAAAGATTCTGTTGAAGATGTTATAAAACAAAGTAACAATAAGTGAGAGGAGCAGTTTGATATATGTTATCTCTATTGCAAACAAGTATCTACTGCCTCAATTATATACATGGTTTTTGGTTGGTGTTGTCAGTGGGGCAAGCATAACTTTGCTCACAAGTGTGAGATACACAAAGCTGTCATTATTAAAAGAAACTTGAATGTAAAATGGCATTTGTACTTGCTTCAGCAAGACACTTTGCCATGGCATTTCAAATTGCATAATTCTCATTTTCTCGACATGTACATTTTTAAACATATATTTTGTACGCAAGAACAGGTCGTAAATCTGGCCTTCTTCTTTGACATCTTGTAGGTGCATCCTATTTAAGTTAATTTTTTTCAACAGAAAGAAACAGCAGCCAGCAGGACTATGATCTTATCCAATCTTGTTCATTTTATTCAATTCCATCTTCCTAGTCAACAATATCCACAATCTTTACTAGCAGCAGGGACAGAGTATCCTTTTTAACAGATGTAATCATGGTTTTTGTAAGCAGGATTTGAGGTTGTCATGGTGGTGAGTTTGAAGATGGCAGTCTTCTGGGTTGTAGTTTCAATGAATATGAAAAAATAAAATCAAAAATTAAATGGCTTCTGCAAAACAGACATGATTACTTTACAAACAAGAGGAGGATAGAAACAGTGAAATTACTCTTACCAATGTAATGTCTAAATAGCACACATGTAGGGTATGACTGAAAGAAAGGTGTGATAGCAGTGCATGGTATAGGAAATGTGAACATATCATTGGTTTCATATGCATGGTCATTATTGATGTTGGCTGACCAATGTGTGTGAAAGAGTTTACCTTCTTGTATGTTGGATTTCCTTATTTGTAATGGTTGGTCACATCTGATAATGGTAACTTTGAACTTGGTAACATATATTGTAAGCAATTATACATATAGCTACATAGAAATGTAAAAAGAAAGGAGAAATTATGAACATTTACAAGCAAGGTCCTGTTGCAAGGAAGTATCATTTTCTCACTTTTTATATTGTAATATTGTCATGTAGCATGAAATCTGTGACCAGAAGTTTGAAAAAAGTCTGCCTTTTTTGTTCAGAAACAAATACCCTTTCAGAGAAACAGGACAAACAGCCTGTTTATTCAGATGAAGAGATATTAAACATGGCTGATGATGTTCTGACAAACAGTGATGGATTTATTGATTATGCAAAGTTCAAACAAACAGAAAACAAATGAAAATTGAGCTCAGTTTGGACTGTATATATGGTGAGTGGCTTCTGTGTTACATTGTAAAAGTGAAGTGTGTAGATGGTATTTTTTGTCATTTACTTGTATTTGTATTAAATAGAATGACTGCAATTTTCAGTCTTACAGGAATTGTATTGTGGTACACCATGGAAGGTTTGATGGGATCTTTATAGGTTCATAATACTGTAGTAATTATAAAAATCGAGCTAGAATGTGTCACAAATGCAAATGAAGTTTAGTTATTTGTGATCATCATCCAATAAATTATGTTTATTGTTTTCATAAAATCTAAGACATAGATTTGTTCTCAACCGTATGCTAAATTTATGGAAACTGATATGTTTTGGACATATCCACATAGGATGAAGCAATTAACCCTACCTAAATATACAGTGCAAAGGAACTTTTGTTGAGGTGAACCTAAAGAGAATGCTGATAAAAAGGAATATCATGGAAGAAACTGGGGGAAGGGAAAATAGAGGAAAAGAATGGAGGCATTCAAGCATTATATATAACAAATGATTGCTTGAAGGAAAACAATAGGATCACCTTTTATGGAATTAAAATTTTAAAAATCATACAAAGTAAGACTTCAGCAGCAGTTCTGTTAGATGTGGACTGTTCCATGGCATCTTGAAATATTTCATTCTTAATAGGCAGGATGGTAACTGTCATGACATAATTAGGTCCTACACTGGACAGAAGCTTCAAGATGTAGGTTGCATCACTGTATTGATATACACAGTCGCCTCATTGCTACGTTACCGTATATCGATTGCCATGGCAACTTAAATATCACAATTGATGATTAATCATTTGTGCCACCTGACCCTGCTATTTGTTTCGTAGTTTATGTGATCAATATCTTGAACCAGTAAGTGAAAGGCCATCTTTATTGATTTTTAATTTGAGGATTCATTGCTCTATTACTGATAGCGCTTGGTACAAAACTGGCTCGTGTCATCAACACGATTTCTCAAACTTACTACTAAATGATTTGGAGATGGAAAGTTTGTTCCTGCAGGAAAAATGAAGTAAAATACATATGTTACGTGCTGAGACTCCGGCCAGGAGCCACACATACCAATATAAAAATATATCTTGGAGGCTTTCACACAAATATTCAAAATTACAGTTGTAATTGTCCTGTGAAGTTTCTGGCAATTCTAATTTGTTGTCTGTGATACGAAGCATAGAATACGAATATTTTATACCCTCTTCCCTACCTATTCACCGTTGGTATTATAGTTCCTGTATTTTGATGTTCTCTGGTGATAGTGGAGGACATGGTTTTGAAGTTCATGTCTGATTTGAATGGCGTAGAAATTGGGGAAAGTATGATAAGGAACACGAAAACAAAAGGCTCTTCACTATCGATATGTATACAGAGATCTTTGTTCAGATGTTTGGTTTGAAATTTATAAACCACTAAAGTTTTTAGATACAAGTGCAGGATATTAATCTTCACCACATAGCACGTTTTGTTTATGTGTTTAATAGAAGTAATTTAAATATGTATTTACGCGTAACGTAAATGTGAATGTGTTACAGCATAATTCTAAAGGTTGCTGCAGAACTAATTGTAAGAGAATGGACCAGAAATTCTTGTATGCTTTCCGAGGTTGGATTGCGTTTGTTGCTTTCATGGATATGGGTACAGCAGCCCGTTGTTATATAGAAAAGCGGTCGTTTCTTGGTGAACACGCTTATAAGAAAACTATTGGACTCCAGTACGGTAAATAGCTTGAACGTTAAGTCCTTAAAGTTTCATTAGTGTATATAGCCCCTGTAATCAATATTTGTGAAATGTATTTAGGAATATAGTGTCCAGTTTCTGTGTTCATTTTGCTGTAGCCTAGGGTTGTATTTAGATACAATGTTCGTGCCAGATTTGTTCCCAGGGCAAACTATGTGGCTGCTGTGTTGTACTGTAGCAGGTTTCAGTCCAAGTATTTTATTTTTTCTGTAGCTAGTCATTCAAACATTGTACTCAAGGTTTTTGGGCTGAGCAGCCAATATGGTTCCATTAAATATATGCATAATATGTTCCTGTGTTGTCTTACATCTGTGTATGTTCAAGTTTTATCTATATATTAAGAAAGAATATTTGTTCCAGAGGATCCAACATTGCCAAGAATATTAGGAATTTATTCCATTTTGAAAGCTCTTGCTTTAATTCATTGCACCTTATATATACATTATAAACCGTGAGTAAATAAATATTTACTGTTTGTAGTATAAAGATTAAGTAGCTAAATAACTGTCTGCTTTTCAAAGATTGCTCTGTAGAGTTCTTCTTCTCAGTGGCTGGAACCTAGTAATGTGAATGTGAAAGAGCAGCTGTTGTCAGAACAAGGGCCTATAAAGAGACTCTCTGTTATGCTGTTGATTGTGGTCTTCTGGAATGTGATGCTGTATACTCTTGTAGGTGGTTACCAGTTTTTCAGAGGAATGATGGTAGCCACATACAAGAACATGGCATTACAACCCAGAAAATTATTATCTTCATTTCTGTGAGAACCTGAAATCTTTTATTAACTCTTTAATCATTAATTAATCAAATGATAACTTCATTAAAATATCTTAACCTGATTTCCTTTGTGTGAATTATAACAGACTGTGCAGTGTTAATTTAATTTGATAATTTGTGATAATTTTATACTTTCTTTGGTGAATGTGTCTTTACCAAAATTTAAGTAAAGTTACTTTTGAGTTTAGTTTTTAAATTTTGTCCTCAGTTTTTTTAAATATGTTGACAGTTCAGTCAGCATTAGTACCATTATTCATTAATCTGTCAATCATTTTCTGATAGGAATTAAAATTAATATTATTAACATTCTGTAAAATACTTTCTAAACTTTGGTAAACATTGTAAACCATTTTATCTCATGATGTACCTGCATTGCTGAAGCAGAGTTGTATGGAGGAGGGTGGCCATTCTTGGGCACTGTTATACAAAAGACAGTAGTTTACAGATTATCAGTATTATTTTTTTTATATATTTAATTATGCTTTCAGTAGCTCAGCCTAGTTTTGACTGAGATAATTAATAATTAATTTGGAAGGAAGTGGTCATGTCCTGGTTTAAGGTACTATCATGATATTAACTTAACTTTCAGCATTCTAATTGATTATCGCTGGTAATGTTGACATACTAATTGGTCCAGTAAAAGGAATGTAATGTCTGACACTACTGGCAGATGTCTTTTTTATAACATTTTATTGTAGTTCCACAAATCATCCATATTTCAATTGTTGCAGAGTTGTGAGCTTGGGAATATGTTCCCTTGTTGTAACAATTCTAATGTACTGCACTGAAGTGTTGTATTTCTACTCCACAACACTATCTTTTTATGTGATCTTCCCATGCATATTGAATGGTAAGTATATGCTGTTAAAGAATAAGGTTGGCTATTCAGAAACTACATTTTATTTTCTATAAACAATGTTTAACAGTCATCATTGTTGGTCTCCTGGGTATTAACATCATGTGCAGTTGTAACTGGATTAAAATATATCAGAGGAACAAACTGCATCCATCTTCTTTTGTGATGATGTAGGCAGTGTGTTCCTCCAAAATGTTGGTATCTACCTGATGGATTATTTATATAAAAACATATGAAACTTATTTTTGTTAATTTGTTATGATTTCATATGTCCATGTGAAATTTACGTAATATCTTGAGTGATCCCTGTGGAACCAATTCTTGAAGATGATGATCTTAAGTGATTACCAATAAGACTGTTGATAGAGAAGGATTAAATGTATGTGCGTACTGATACATGTTACATCAGCACTTTAACCATCATTATCTTGTTATGGATTATGAATTAGATTATTATGATCACTTTCATTATACAACAGGCAGGACAGAGTAATGCTGCAGGATTTTAAAATTGTCTGAAATTTCTTACTCTGTATGCAGCCCTGACTCTGATAGGACTGATCGTGTTGCCTAAGAGATTGATTGATGCTCCTGCAGTTCCTGAAGATGAGAATGCAGAATTGCTGAGGCAAGCAGCAGTCTTCAAACGAAGAAGACCTAAGAAAGTAAACTAATCTAAGCTGTTTACTGCCATTTATTCTTGTAGTTAAAGTTTATTTAAGCCTGTAGATATAAAGAATAACATAGTAGTATGTTTCGCGATATTTATAACCATTTTGGTAATTTATTCTCTGACTGGCCATCTCAGGATTGTTTATTCTTGTCTTTAAACACTGGTAAAATATTTTTATTAGTCATATGCATGCTCATCATAGGTGCAACTAATAAACCTGCCGGTTACACATTTTGGATTGACTATTTTGTTTTTATAACAATGATGTAAATGTGTAGCGTGAATTTACAAATTTTATAAATAATATCTTATATATCAACTGATCTTCTAGGTTGTGATAATATGTAGTCTTGTAGGTGGTTATCAGTGTTGGGAGGAATATATTGCCTGTCCTCAGGGTTGAAATAACCCTGGAGATGGAAGTGATTTGTTCCTCTGCATCACAACTCAGGAGATCACAGTCAACAACTTCACCACCACCACGAAAACCTCAAATCTCTAATGATATCTTAAATGAACTTGTGAATAAAGTAATATATATATATATATATATATAATGTTACTATCTAATTTATACTTCAGGACTTTGCACTGAAAGTTATATACATGTACTAATTTATTTTATATTATAGTATAACACATAAAAGATGCTGTGTAATTCTTGTTTCAAATTATGAAATTTGAAACATTGCAATACAAATAATTTTAGAATGATATAAATGAGATTTTGAAAGTGGTAAGATTACATTGTAAACAAATTCTTGTTCTATTCTGTAACATTTTCCTTGTACATGTTATATTATGTATTATTATTAACATTTAATACTGGAATGAAACAATACTTTTCTCTGTAAATAAAGTTAAATATTCCTTTATAGTATACAGTCTAGAGCCTGTGTTGAAAACTATCAACCATCTGTATTGAGTTTGTTCCGTGAAGTCACATTATGCAGAAATTCACGTGCAGCAGTTGATACTAATTAGAAAGATGAGTCAGCTGTTTCTAGTGTTGTCACTTAATGATAAGGAAGGAAGCTGGGTGGTCATTCATAGTGGCAGATGAACAGTTTCGTAATGCTAACAGGAATAGTAGATTTTGGTTTATGGTCTTCTTGGTTATGCAACTATGTAGTCTTGTAGATTGTTACTAACATTTTGGAGGAGCCTGCTACTTCCATCTCCAGATGTATGCGAAGTAAAGTTTGTCCTGCTACGTGCCGTAAAGGCGCTTGGGATGAGTGGAGGTATAGCTCCTCTATTTCTTGACCTCAGCACTAGATGGGATTGAGTGGTCGGCATTAAGCCCCGACCGGCTTTACCCCCAGGAAAGGACCCCAGTGCCCATTGTAGAGGAGGCTGGGTGGGCCCCAGAGCCAGTCTGGACGCAGAGGCTAGAGGAAAAATCCTCTGCCCCTGGTGGAGATCGAACCCCAGTCGCCCAGCCCGTAGTTAGTCACTATACTGACTGAGCTATCCCGGCTCATATCCAGATGTATGTGGAAGGGTTATAGAGTATGGATGGATCTAGTCAAGGTGAACAAGAAAATTGTCTAGTCAGAACGAGGGATGGAAGGAAGTAGATAAGAGCAATGTCCAGGACAATTGAATGGGGAAGAGGAAAAGCCCTTTCAGGGCTGGATACATCACAAGGACTGTTCCTTTAATGCATGGCAAAAAAATATGGTTGTATGGCTAGTTCGTTGTCATCGAGCATGTCATCACTATAACAATATGTATGATGTAACTATTCTGTGCTCTGACTTCTGAACTTCAGTACATTAGACCAAGTCGGAAGGTCCACTGAGTAAACAGTTCTGAAAATGCTTCCATAAGAAGTAACAGGGTAAAATATTATTGTTAACTTATCTGGATGTGAAATTCATGATGAAGGGAGGATTAACTTCATACACCTATTGTTCATAAAGATAATCAAGAGAATACAGACGGGAATCTTCAACGTGCAGCGCAGGGATAAAACTTTTTGGGGCTGCAAATTTTTAATGGTTGTTACACTTGTGGTTTTCATGGCAATGAACATTTTGATTGTGATCTTCTGGGTTGTATACTGCATAGTCTTGTAGATGATTACGTGTTTTGGAGGACATTGTCATTTCCATTTTAAGGGCTGATATGGATAGTTAACCCTATTTACGACCTTCCTTGAAAGTGCCTTTTTCAGGGCCTTCCTGTGAAGCATAGTTTTCAAGGCCACTTTCCTGTTTCCTACGTTCACTCTATAAATTACCCATATTCCTGATGTACTACTACTGTGTTACTTAAATATTTAGACTTAGTTAGTTTATAATTGTACCCTTTCTGGAGGCTGTGTCTGTAAATGAAATGAAAAAAAGTATTTAATTCATTCTGTATGAAAGAGGCTGTTGATGAGGATTCTGTAAAAATTCTATAGTACAAGTGCATTATGAAGATACAGTGTTACGGAGATGAAAGTCATGAATCCAGTCCACTTTGCCTACATGGATGAAGGAGGATCAGTGCTGTAGTTTTGTTCTAGTATATGTAATAAGAGTTAACCCTTTGTATCGATTATTACTTCAGTATATATGTAGGGCAGTCAAAAAGTTCCTGGAATTGTGGTATAGCACTGTAATGGTAGGACATATGGCAATGCTTACCTAATCACCTTCAAAGTAGGACCCTTGCTCCATTAATCCTGCCATTGTTGGGAGCACCAGCGGAAGGCTTCGTTTGGAATCTTCCAGAGTTTGGCCGTCACATTCGATTTGATGTCCTCCATGGTTGCGAAACGCATCGCCTTGAGGAAAATTTTCAGAGTAGGGAACAGCCAGAAGTCACTCTGAGTGAGATCCGGAGAGTATGGAGGTTGGGTGATGTGCTTTTCTTGGCGAGGAATTTCTGCACAACCAGCGATGTGTCGAATGCGACGGCCAAACTCCAGAAGCTTCCAAACAAAGCTTTTTGCCGGTGCTTCCAACAATGGCAGGATCGATGGAGCAAGTGTGTGTGTGTGCACAAGGATCCTACTTTGAAGGTGATTAAGTAAGCGTTGCCATATGTCCTACCATTACAGTGCTATACCACAATTCCGGGAACTTTTTGACTGCCCCTCGTAGTTCTGACTTCTTACCAAGGTGAATAAGTATGAACAAACAGTGAGTAGGTGCATATGCATTTAATGTTTGTTTATTATAAGGGAAAAGTACATCATAGTCATAATTACGTATTAAGTTCAGTGATAAGCTTTATTTACAGGGTTTGTCTCAACATTCAAAATAACATTCTCCAGGACAAACACTTGTACACAATTTCAAATATTTATAAATATATTCTTTCTTAAAGCATATTGGAAACCTTTCTTAAAAATGTCAAACTTTTTAAAGAAAGTCTGCTTGTTGCTGACAATTATTTCACTTTCTCATTGAAGATAGTGTTGTGTATTAATTAACTTAATACTATGTTTTTATTCTGAAAGGATTTTTTTTTCATAGAGTTATATTCACATGAAAGAAGAATTAGAGAATGGGAGTATATGACTTACTAAAAAAAATGAAATTGAGTGTGAAGTGACAAAATGTGAAATAAGATTGATTATATACTTAAAATTTGTTGGTATTTGAAATGCATTTTATTATACTGTATGTTTTGGCATATACTTAAGGTTTTTTAATATGTTGAGCCAAATTTTTACATAAAAATTTCAGTTAACTTGTTTTTGTTTATGAGGAAACATTTTAATGCAACACTGTTACACTGTGTGATTTTCTGATTTCTTAATTTTAGCATGTACGTCAAAATCTAGTCGCCTACATGTAATGTTAAGGTACTTGTCCTTTGTTAACTTTGTTCATTGTTATTTAAGTTGTTCTTACAAATTCTTCACCTATAATGTTTGTCATGTTATTGGATTTTTTTGTTGCTTTGTAGGTGACCAGCAAGTTATATTTATTAACTTTTGAAAGTATATATTCATGAATGTTTAATAGTGCTGTGTTAGGATTAACAAATATAAAATGTAAAAAATTATGAACAGAGCAATTCCATTAATCTTTTGTGATTCGCATGGATAGACTAAAATCCGTTATTAAATCATAGTAAAAAATTTAGCTCAACAGCACCTTGCTGTTTATTGTAACATAAGAAATGTTCCATACTGCATTTGTAGTTTGATGTAAGCAACAAATTTCATTTATGCACTTAAATAGTAACTGGCAAACACAAAAAAGCACATAAATGGACACATGATATAAATATAGTTGGAGATGTCTGCTGTCAGCTTGAAGGAACCCAACAAACAAAACAAACCCACATATGTTTTAGGATGGCTAAGGTTTGTGTTCTTAAAAAGGGTTGGATTAGAAGAACAGGCTCTGATTAAATTTTATTTGACAAGAATTGAGGAGGGACTGTTATGATATATGAATGCTTCAGCTTCACACAAATAGTCACTCTCATGTATGCTTTGTTGCACTAAGCTTAATAAGCCAGTGTATGAAACATCACTTGAAATTGCTTGTATAGTCCACAACACTAAATTTTGTTCCAATGCAGAGAAAGCTGTGTGTTTCAGAAATATCTGTTTACAGTAATTCTTTCTTTGGATAATTGAGAGCATTTTGCTGATCATCCTATGATGTGTTCAATAATTATTTTACTGAACAAGCCCATGTGGAACAGCAGATCAGCTGAAGTCATTGCATCCAATGTGCTCAAGCCATTCCATCCTCGTCTTTCTTGTTGTCCAGCCGTTTCAACTGTGGAAAGGTTAATTGTATTTATTATTTGTACATAATTCTCTTTGTTAATAATGAACAGTTATTTCAGATTTTTATTCTACTTGTGTCTTAGAAAATTATATATGACATATTTGTGAAAATTTCATATAAAATGGTAAAGTTTTCAACAGTTTATGTAATGTACCATTCCTAAGTTGGTTACTTTGAGTGATGGGTTTAGTTTAGTACCTGAATTTCATGAAACCGTTTAACTGGATTGATTTTGTCAATTCATTTACTGCAGTAGCAGGTTGTTATTATGAGATTGAAATCTCTGACGTCTGAGGAATATTTGTTTGTAGAGAGCTAGCCATTCAGATATGCTGGCCAGTTAAGAGCTGGCTGGCTGGCCACTGTACAAGGCAAATGTAAATAAGATGTGTGCTTAGGCAAGTTATCAGTGATTCAAAGAATATCAGGAAAATGGGCAGTGAGTTTCTGAATGTGCAGGACAAACACCCATGTTTCTAGTCTTAGCAAATTTTTTTTTACATTACTTTCAGTTTTGCTATATGTAACATTTATTTGTTTCCAAAACAACCATGTTTGCTTTCTGAGTTTCTACATAATTTAATCTTACTATGGATATAAAGTGATCTCATATTCACAGAACATAGTTTCAGAAAGGCAGTACCAGTACCAGTCTCCTGGAACAAAAATGTTGTCATAAATTCATTGAAACATCCCCGTAGATGGAGACAGCATGTTCTCCAAAATGTTGCTGTACAACCAGAAGACCACTTTTTAAACTCAAATCATCATGAAAACCAAAAATTCCATGTTTACAACGAACTTTGCAAACCTCTGTTATCATGCCTATATACAGAATTATGTCATACTGTCCATCCATGTGCCCTGAGTTATCAGTTTTCATTTCAGAGACCTGATGCTTCCTAGCATACAAGGAATTTTCAGTGACATGAAAGTCCTTGACATTATCATCACAGCATTCATGACATCAGAATCAGGAAGGTGTTACTCTGCATCGAGACATACAAAAACAATAAGCATAGGAAAAATCAACACTGTTGATAGAAAAGAAACTAATGAAATTCCCTTCCAATATTTTAATACCACAGTTACTAAGCATTTTGTAAGGCTAAAGAACAATGGGGAACAAGTTTTTATTTATTTATTTACAGGATACTCTCTGTCAATAGATAGTAAATGTCTGCTGTGAGTAACTGCTCATATGCATTAGCTTGCCTTCTGTTTTTCAGTGAAAACAACTCAACATTCTTGACTAGTTGGTATTATCTTGATAATGTATAACCTGTACTCATACTGTCCTCTTCTTCTTTTTACAGTATTGTTCTCTTAAACCTCCTTTTTATTATATGCACACATACACCCACACACAAACATGCTTCTTTTTCTGTAGAGATTTCCACCAGATACAACGATTTTCTGTCACCACTGGCTAGACACCCAACTCCTGAGGATGTAATGCATAAAAGGAACAATTGGAGTATTCCATATTGATGCACCATATTTTTAAAGAAAGTTTCCATAGTCAACTTTTCTGATAGTTTTAAATAACTCTTCTTATACAAATATTCCATAGTAGATGCAGATATGCAAGCAGCTAGAACCATGTGGACATGCTGCAGGTGGGTTAGTAATTAAGCGTGACTCATCACTTCTTTGTCCTGAACCTGTACCTGTACTGGAGTGTATTCTGTGGTTCTCTCAATGGGGACTGCAGAGAAAGCATGCTTATAGATCAAGGCAGCTGAGATTCCTCCAAGTATGGGCCCCAGCCAGTATACCTGTGTAACAATTTAACATATTTCCATCACATAAGTGCTAAAAATATATATATATTTCAAACTCATTTCTCTAAAGATTCTTGTCATTTCACCTATTTTCATACCAACTTTGTTAAGTGTTTTTGAATGTTTTGATTTGATGTGAAGATTGTCTATTCTGTCGATAGTTACTTAATTCCATTTAACAGTTTCCTTTGGAAAGCTAATAGTCACTCCACTGACAAGGAATTCCCTGCCTTTTGTGGAAGCAACAGGGTGATTACTTTGACCCCTATCCTGAACGAGTTGAACCCAGTCCACATCTTCACATTTTATTTTTATTTCAAGATCTGCAGGTGCATTCTCATACTTTAACAACATAACTTTAGATTGGTAAACCTTCATAATAAGATTCATTAATGCATTTGTACAAATCTGTAATACTATTTATTTCAAGCTCATTAAATTTGTCTTTAGGTGTTACCTTTCTTTGTTCTTAAGAATTTGGTTGCATTATTCAAATTTTTTAGACTTTTTTTTATTGTATGCAGTTTAGCCTTTTTCCTTTTATCCTATTCTTCCTGCACTCTGTCAAACCATCCATTATTCTGGTTTAGGTGTTAGGCTGTAGGTGTTAAAATATCAATTTTCAATTTTTGAATTTCAATAGATGTTAGAGTTTGTCTTCTGGGTTGCAACACCATATGAACATCATAGGTTGATAATGTTTGAGAAAAGTATCTTCCACATGGCTTTAAAAGCCAGAAGACCAACAATGATATCTATACTGCTGTGAGAACCTCACATTTCACATAGTAGAAGAATTTTCTTAAGTAAATTCAATTCATTTATTAAAGTGCTTGACAACAGCCAAGCACTAATAACAATACAAAAGCAAACAAACAATGAACTGAATATATAAATGTACAATATTAATTTATTGCAAAATAATTTGTTATATAATACATGTTCCAACAGTTAATTTAAGTTAGCTGAAGAAATAATTCAAAGTACTGTTCCAAATTATATTTACTTGGCTGTTTATTAGATGTTTTTCCAGAATATCTTATTCCCAAGGTGCCTAAGCTAGAAGTCTAGGGATTTTTTGTTTTGTTTTATTTTGTAGTGGACACTTCACGTGTTGGCTGCCTTGTCAGCTGAACAATACTGGCTTTTCCATAGGTTCAGAGTAGTGAATCATGCTGATTATGTCACAGACTTGTAAGTTCTTTTGTGTTTTTTTAACGTTGAAGACATTTTCCGAATGTTTTTCTTTTTTGTTCCATATTGCCACATTATCTTAAGTTATGTTTTAGATATAAAACTCAGTTATCGCCATATGTCCAATTTCCATTGGTAATTGTATGTCAAAAAAACCACTTGTATGCAACACATCACCCAAAATATGGTTACATTTATACAGTTTTGTTTAAAACATTTGGGGGGGAGTTACCCCTATTTCATATATTCTAGTTGAGTGTGTAGTAATAGATTGTGGGAAGGAACTGAAAATTTGACACTGATATCAGTGGTTTCCAAGATAATGATTCACAAAGTTTAACATTAATAATGTAAGAATGGCTTATTTCATTTAATTCATAAGACTCTGGATTCTCTTTGGCTGAAGTTTTTACTCTAATTCCTTTCCAAGCTGTGTTGATATTGACTTGATTTCAAGGTATCCAGCTACAAACTTGCATTAGAATTTAATGAGTGACCATTAAATTTTATTTCCACGTGGTACCAACTGAAGTTATGCCCTAACCATCAATCTAACCTAAAGTAAAAATGTCCATAAGTTAAACTTACCCAATGGTTATCCCATATTCCTGTGAGTATAGCAGAACCAAGAGTGCGTGCAGGATTCATGCTGGAACCTGTGTAATCCAGCTGTAGAACAAAATTATAATAATCTTGTATTTTTACAGTATTAAGCTATACTTAAGAAATATCAGGAAGCAAGAAGGTCTTTGCTTAGAAACTTAGAGAAAACAGGGAATAAAGAGCAACAGGTGAAGGAATACGTGAGAAGGATGCACTGGAAAGGAAATAATTTAAATGTTTCATAATCTGATATAAATCTTATGGGGAATGAAGCAAAGGATTTTTTGGGGGGACATGATTATGAAGGAAAGGTGTTTTTCTTAAAATACTTTATTTGCATGCATAATTTTGATACCACAGAATCCCTACTCAGTTGCCCCCGAAATGCATTCTCCTCTTTATTATACAATTTGTGTACTTTTACCTCACTTTTGCATTCACACTTCTGAAAACTGATCTTTCACTGTAAAACAAGCATAATATGGGTACAAACCATTGTTGTGAATGCTGCAGTTTCTTTATTACCACAATGCAAGGGCCACTCAACCCATGACCAAGGTCCATGCAGGTGTAAATTATGACAGAATATTTTCTGTTATGAAATCCATGCATATTTTCTCCCATTTTTCCTCTAGTCTCTGTGCCCACCCAGTCTCCTGTCCAGTGGGTACTAGGGTCTTTTCCCGTGGGTAAAGCGAGGCTGGGGCATAATTCTGACCACTCATCACTATCTAGTATTGAGGTTTAGAATGAGTAGGAGCTGTATCACCTCTCCCCTCAAGTGCCTACGTGGCATGTGGTCAGACAGCTTTATTTTATTTTTTTATGTGATAGTGCAAGAAAGGTTACAAAGGATGGTACAAATCACAGTCTGTTGGGACCCTCACAGGGTGCATACTGTGTCATTGTATTATGTTGGTGAAACATGAAAATCAGTTGATTTAGAAAATGCAAGTTCTTGTTATTCGGAGATGTGTCCACACAAGACAGTGGCACTCTAAATACTAAGGGAAACAGAAAGTACCAAGTCGCATATGTACATGACATAAACAGTGTTTGTACTTACTACAGCGAGGTGGCCCATGGCAATGGTAAGCCCAATGGCAACAGGAGCCAGTCCCTTCACTTCAGAGCGATTCACATCACACACTCCAAATACCACTAGTACAAGCACAAATCCGAGGAAGTACTCGATGCCAAAGCCTTGTACGGGTGTCACACCATGGGTGAGTACAGTAATGCCCAACTTACTCTGTGCGTAATGTGGTGTTAGAGCCTGTAACAGTACCATCATAAATAAGGGCTAATCAGTCTGCGGTGATGTTCGTTCTTTGGTCGTTCTGTCTAATATACTAGTGTCATCTCTTTTGTGTATTTAATTTTATATGCAATTTTACTAGTTTAGGAGTTTGAGACTCAGTTTGTCTGCATTGGGAGAAACAACAGTTAATTTAGCCAAAAGCTGATTTAAACAATTTCATAAACATTTTTGCTTAATAGATTCTTAAAAGAATTTTACTAGACTGAAAAGTGTCACTTCCTTGGTATGATTTTATAGGAGTTCAGAAGGAAATGTTCAGTGGAATGTGAATTATCACATTCTTCTGCAAGAACTCTGTCAGGGTTAGGGTTGCTTGCGGTTCTGATAGTCTGCATTATGCAAATTGAGGTTAGGAGTCCACATGTATTTCTTGTCTCGTGTTGGTAGCTTTGTGTTACTGTTCTGCCTTGTATTACATTATTACACCTCAATTATTATAAATTTTACTGTTTTCCAGAGTTTTAAATTTGGTGTTTTGGTTTAGTTTGTTACAGAACGTTTTTAATTGCTAATTATTCTGATTTTTTTTTCCACTGTCCCAACTTTTCATATCCTGTTACTGTACCATAAGATAGTATCTGGGACCTGTTTCAATTAACTATTTTCTATTAGAATCTGTGGTGTGTGTGTTCACTTTAGAAAAGGTTTCCTTCATGTTGCTGTGAAGGCAGAGACCACGAGATCCGAAAGTCCATAAAAGTGTTACCCACAACATGTTTTATATTGACTTAAAGAGGCCTTCTGCTGGTATTATAATATTTGGCATATCTAAATTGTAATTGATGATATGTGTTATAAAATAATTATTTTTATAAATGTTAAAATTTAATACAGGCATTTATTTAAACTTATGGGCCGGGATAGTTCAGTCAGTATAGTGACTAGCTATGGGCTGGACGACCGGGGTTCGATCCCCGACGGGGGCAGAGGATTTTCCTCTAGACTCTGCGTCCAGACCGGCTCTGGGGCCCACCCAGCCTCCTATCCAATGGGTACCGGGGTCCTTTCCCGGGGGGAAAGCCGGCCTGGGCGTGATGCTGACCACTCACCCCCATCTAGTGCCGAGGTCAAGGAAGAGAGGAGCTATACCTCCACTCACCCCAAGCGCCTGTATGGCACGTAGCGGGACAAACTTTTATTTATTTAAACTTCTTTTAAATAAAACGTAGTAATGAGTTTGATCCCTGTCCCCCAGATAGGACCCTGATTGGATGGTAACAATAGGATTAGTTCTTTCTTAATAATAGAAATGAATTAGTCTTAGTTGTAAATGTTACCTTTAGCACGCCTGTGCCTGCAACTGCACCAAGGCACTGCACAGTAATGTAGAGAAGGGCTTTGAGGATGGAGATATTTCCAGTAACCAGCATGCCACATGTCACCGCCGGGTTCACATGGGCCCCGCTTACGTGCCCTATGGACTGCAAGCATTAAACGTGTACGTCCTTCACCCTTTTCAAAATCAGTCTTACATTTCTAGGTAATAATGATTTCCTGAAAATAATGAGATGAAATAAAAGTATTTGTGCTCTGTTTTTGGTTTTATCCATTTTTTTAAAAAAAGTCTTAAAATGTCACTACGTTTTGAAGGATGGCTGTTCCTTTGTCTTCAGGTGAAAATGGGGAAGCATTAGCTCTTTTGAATCTGGCAGACTGAACTATTCGTGATTTCAGGAAGATCCATCCTCTGAAATGTAGTCATTTTTAGGGACTTTGTAAAGAAACATGATGTGCAAAGTCCAGAACAAAAAATTTAGTAATATAATACCATCACCAAAGACATTCAGGGAAGAAAGGAACCCGGGAAAAGCCACTAATTTAATTTGTAACATTCAGACTATATACCCAAATATAAATATGCTCGTTTAATTGTTAAGAATGCTGAAAAGTGGTCAGACCATTTTCCAAAATAATTTTCTCGTCTTATACGCTAAAGGGGCTTATTATCAGTACCTTCTATATACGTGGTCTATGAAAATGAGAAATTGGAACAGCAGTTTAGGTTTTTCTACGAATAGTAAATATAAGTTATCATGTCTGCTGTTAGAGGAGTGTGTTGCAACCAAAGAGTCACATAGGAGGACCACTGGTATGGATCTATGAGGGCTATTAAAGTCAATGGTCGTCGAGAGACGCTAATCGTTGTTCCAAGCGGTTTGCCTAATTAGCGACATTTACAGTTACACTTCGCTTTTGCAAACATGCAGATGACTCCAGCCTCTTGTATTATATTTGAGACGTAATGACAAGGCAGTAAAACTGTGCTGTCCGGAAAGACCTCGAGCATCTAGAAGTTACGAATATTAATATGTTTTCATCACAAATAACGAAAATTATAGCCAGTATGTTTAGACTAAAGGCTTTTGACGAAGGTGTGTCACTGAATTGATGCATGTTCTTGGGCATTTTCCTTCGTCTGTTAGTTTAAAACCGCAGGTGAAATCATACAGTGTAATCAGCACCGCCTTTTGGAAGCAGCTCTCCGGTGTGTAAGATTTTGAAGAGTAGAGTAAATGATCCACGAACTAACCCAGTTTGGGAACCATGTCACCATCTCCAGTAACCACTCATAAGTCACAAAAGCAATGTGAAACAAACAAGCACCAAATACAATAGTTAATGTGCCCATTATTTATTAGTAAATTCGTTGTGTGCAGAATAATGTAATATTTAAATGTGCACAACAGATTTAAAGGTCCTCCACTCCATGCCCATCAGGGTCGTTAAATTTCGTGTTTACTTACGATAGTCTAAGCAGTGATGATAAACTGTTGTTGGTCTTTCTGGATGGGTCCTCTTCCGAAATGGCAGGCCAAATTTTTACGTGGTAGTAGATTCTAATGACGGATTAACATGCTGCTGCGGAGAGCACGTATTAGGACGTAAAAGGGAGAACGTTAAAGGACGCTGGAGGAAACTGCTTAATGAGGAGCTTTCTTTTTTGCGCATTCACGAAATATTACGGTGACCAATTAAGGAAGATGAGATGTACGGGGGTATGTAGTACTC